TTTTTTTTTTGTCACCGTTATTTTAGATTCTGAGTGAAGCGAATGTAGTATGTGTAGGAAGAGAGTATAATGGGACATCATTTATATGGCGGCAAAGCGCGTGGCAGTTTAGATGTGCTCCACTATTCGTCCCCTACCAAAAACGATTCTAAGCGAAGTTCGGTTACACGTGTTATGAAACGTCGATATTATCGTCAAAACTTTAACTTATGACGTTTATAAAAAAAACTACTATATTACATTCAACTTTGTTTAAATCACTAATTCAGATATATTATAATAAACCTTGTATTAAATTTTCAACTATTTCTATTCGGTCAAACAATTCTATATAAAAAAAAAAAATAAAAACCTACGAGACTAAAAAACATTAAATGTTTATAAATAGCTTAAATGTTGCCCAGAATACTTAAAACATTTTGCCACGTATATAAAAAGGTAATACGGGTAATATTACGAGCTAATATTTAACCGAATTACAAAAAAAAAAATACGAATAAAATCCAAAATAATGAAACCGTTCGTGTGCCGTAAACGTGCCCGTTTATCCTACGGTTTTTTTTCCTAATATTAAGAAAACTCCGCGGAAAATTAAAAAAAAAAAATGACCTATACGACGCTAGATCCTAAATTCTTCTTCTTCTTTTTCTTCTTCTTCTTCTTCAAAAAAAAGAAAACTCACTTACACGCCCGTCGTTTATCGATTGGGATACGATTTTTTCGGCAAAGAAGTTGTACACGTCGTTACACTGTTACAACGATACAACACGCGGTCCCAATGTCGATACGGTACGTTTATTAAATTCCGTGCACTAGACGTGTACGCGCATAATAAATTATCTCCGCGACCTATGACATTCGAAACGCATTGGCGTATTAATGATGTTGCGTTTCCGTGATTTATGCGCGCGCCGGAACGCGGTCGATACGTCGCGGCGAAACCGCCGAACAGCGGACATTCTGGTTCGGCGGGTAAATTCGTCCGCTGTTCACGGGGGTGTAAATTCACGGAGTCCGTAACGGGCAAAACGCGTACAATAAGAAGAAATGCGTATGCGCCGTGGTCATGTTCAGTTATGTTATAATGCCGTTGCGCGTATGTGTTTAACGTTTTGAGGATATGATAATTTTAATATGCATTTTCAGTACGTATGTGTGTATACGTATAAATACACGCGCACGCGCGCACGCGCATAACAGTAATAATAATGACAAAATAAGTACGCGAAACGCGTCCACGCATATACAGAAATACAATTCAATTCGGCGTGATGACGAATTTGGTTGGTGGTCGAAACACCGTCAATGTTTCGCGAATTTAGTTTGATTCGCGAAACATCGGCTCGAGACATCGATATTTGCGGTCATAGGCAATCGTCGTTATTCGTCACGGTTATTTAACTTCTCGTCCCATAGCTGGTTTAAACGTTAAATGTTCACAACGTGGGAAATGCTTTCGACGATTTCCAAGTGATGTTTTCTTGGCTATCATCCGGGGTACCGAGTTGAAACATAGAAAAAAAAAAAAAAAAAAATTGTCCACTCAAATTTGACTTATAAGTCGTCTAAAATCTTACGACCGATTTTATGTACATGTACCCGTGAAGATTAACTTTATCCATATCCCCTAATTACGCGACTCGTTATCAAATACAAAAACAAACGTACAAAACGAGTTTCCTATTGTTATTGTTCCAGCGCGAGCGCGTTTTGCTACCGTAGTTTTGTCATTATTTTTAAATGCACGATTGAAACTGGTGTCCGCTATACGGAGGTCATCCGCTATTGTGGGAGGTGCCCGTTATGGGAGGTTTCACTGTAAATGCATTTTTCATTATCACGTACATATTAAGCAGGTAGTTTGATAATTATTGTATTACAATACATAGGCGTAAAACTGATGCGGTGAGAAACGCACAATATCATAATCGACACAATAAAACCGTATATATACCTATAGTGTATACTTACTAAATTCTTAATAATAATAAAAAAAAAAAAATTGATTTTAATATATGTGCACACCAGCAGCTAGTTGTTGTCACGATAATACGTTTTCTCGTACGTTTCTGTTGCAGTCTGGTATTATTTTTATTGTTATTTTTTAAATACATAATATTTACGTATATTATTATATAACACGGTTTTCAAACTACTACTATGGTCAATATTATAAATCCTGTACAAAATAATATTTTACGTTTATTGCCTGCCTACCGTCTAAACGCTCACGTTTTCGACAGTTCTTAATATCACATCAAATACGAATCGTTACAAATTAACCAGCATATACAATTCAATCAGAAAATTGCTGGTTTTGTTTTTTCCAACTAAACGTCTCATAGTTCTTTAGAATCATTAGTTGTGCGGGTGATCGCGAGCCGGAGTGATTCCCTAGCTTTCACCTACATTCAGTACACAATGTTATTACTATGTGTCATGACAGTAGACAGTAGTAGCGGTAAGCCATTCTGGCCGGAATGATAAAAACACGGAATGTGAAATTTCGGAACGTAAAACTCCAGACTGCAATAATCCAGAACGTAATACACCCGATGTCTTATATACCGGACAGTAATTTGCCGGACCTCCATAACCTGGTACTTATGAAACTGGGACGTAAAATCACGGGCCGTAATATTCTAGAATGTAAAATTCCAAAATTAAGTAAAAACCATAGGCTCCTAAATTCTAATGTGTTCTGATAGGCAATCACTTTATACATTTTATATTTTTAGTAACTATACCTGCAATAGTATTAACAATGACATTTATTCGAATATTTCATATTTTTCCTGTAAATACTTAGCGAAATGGATCTAAAGTTTCGGCAAATTCCCGTGACTTTTTTGTACCCTAACTTTATACGCAGTAAAATATTTTAGAAACTATTGAAGTATTATTGATGGAATATTACAGTTCCGGATTATTGGATTTTGGCGTTTCATAGTCTTCCAATAGGGAGCAGGTCGCGCAAAAGACATCGATAATGTATGTTATATTTTCATTAAACCGGTGCAGTATATTCGAAAAGAAAGAATGAATTACGACGGCGGCTAAACGATACAAATATAATTAGTGTCGATAAGCCAATAATAATTATTATTGTTTTTTCAACGGTTAGGTGTTCGAATTTAATGGCCGAATTAATCGACCGAATAAATAATAATAAGCAAATGAGCAATAATAATAATAATAATAATAATAAATAATATGAATTATTTATTCAATATTTATATACGAATGTAATATTAATATTATAAGTATACATACCTATATTACCGGCTAGACTGCCCGTGAAACCTTATCGCGGAGGATAAAAACTATTTATCTACAGTTCAGAATGCATCACGTATTATTGGTGTGCGAGTGTGTGATTGTGCGCGTGTGTGTTGTCGTTCAATACTTTCGACGAGAATAATTGTTGAAAATATCAACCTCTGATTAACTATTGTTAATAATGTAATGAGTCATACAACACCGGGAGTTCAACTCTAATCGAAAATCTAAATTCGGAACTATAATAATAAATGTACCGTTGTTGGGGAACGCATAATATAAACGTGAAATGTATACGATATTGTTACCGGTACAAAAAAAAAATAATAAAAATAATAAACAAATATGGATTGGCTGAAAAACTACAGCACTTTGTCGGACCGTTTAAAGAATATCGTAATATTATTTTATTTTTATATGGTTATTCGTCGTTTAACAAGCGCCGTCACTGTAAGACTGGAGTTTAGACGTTTTTTTGTATAGCTTTAGCCTGGGTACAAGTCAAACAATATGACACAATTTTCAAACGCAATACTCCCTATACTTGGAAAACTTCTACCATCACTGATGTGCAATATTATTCCGATTTTGATTAGAGTTGATCTTGTCATAAACAATTTTTCAAAGGTTGACCGATGCGCGAGTAGATGTAGGCGCCTACCTACGAATAAGCATAAATGCCAAAAATTAAAATTAAAATATCACACAACTATAGCACTTAGATTGTCCACGTTCAATTGGCCGCTTAAAACGTGATTGATTGACGATTTACTTCATACTACTCGTGAAGTTGCATATCATGTTTTAACTTAACGAGAATTAATATTCGATATTGATAGATCGGACACACCAAAACGCCACATACTTGACGTAAGTATGTGGTCTAAGTGTATGGGTACAAGGGAATCTTCGACAGCGTTTAAAAATTTCAAATAATAATAGTTATTTTCGAAAATTTATAGTTTTGTTTTAACAACAATAAGTAGAATGTATAGCATATTATACAATAAAATATAATATAACACCTCTAGTATTATACCAGCAAATTACTTGAATTTTCGGTGTAAACGTGTCGAACAGAAACCGTTTGATTGAATCTCAAATTCGATGATCTTTGTAGTATTTTGTGCCATTACTTTAAACCCTGACTTGTCCTCAGCTATTATAGATTTCCACTTTAATGTTATTTTTGTGGGTGAAAATTTTTAATATTCCTTCGTTTTTATAATAACACAATTTTTGTTTTATTATTTTCTAGAGCGTTCAAACCAGTTTGAGGAACTCATGTACTCTATAACCGACAATACCGCAGTAGTATCATCATCGCGAAAGGATTGAAATATTGATCAATAGCCGGTTATTGATGAACTGCGTCGAGACGACCGCCATTCCTTGGACCAGCAGTACTACGACAAAATGCGACCGGTCGACTGCAGTTAGGATTCAGTTCATGTTGTTGGACTCAAAAGGTGACAAGATCACTGGCCACTAATATAATAGATACTAACTGACACCGAATTTAATTTATCACGATGGAACGAAACAGATTACCAGAATCACGGTTGTAGCCGGGTGCAAAGTAGAACCACGAACACTATCAACATAATTACAATTACCACCAACACCATCAACACTGCCTTGACTGCTATTACCATCAACCACACGACTTTAAACTACAGTTACTCGTGTTGAAACACGAACCTCTTGTCTTCTGCGGATTTATGGAAACGGACTTTAATAATGGATTCGACCCGGCGGCGGCGAAGGTTGCAACTGGCGAACACCATAACAAAGGAGATGAATGTGACGACAAACGATCGCTCAATCAGAACACGGTGCTACAAGACAGAAGTGACAAATTGCAGAATGGAGAAACCGAAAAAGTGGATAGGGGCGACGAAGGGTATGACGACTATCTTGCCGAACTTTTGGACAACATGGATAAAGAACGATCTAACGGTGGCAAAGACATTGCCGGTGAACAACTGTTATTGCCGTGTTCGGCGAAACGGGTTTCGATCCAAGTGGAGACGTTGCCCTACAGCAGCATCCGGTATGAAGAAGTAGAAGAGGATGGCGTGTCCACGACGACAATCACACGGAAGCCCAAAATCCCAGACGGCGGATGGGGCTGGATGGTGGTGTTTGCCTCATTGATGATTTGCTTGATCTCGGACGGCATCAGTTTCTCGTTCGGTCTGCTGTACATCGAATTCCTTAAGGAGTTCAAGGAGAGCAAATCCAAGACCGCGTGGATTGGCTCTTTATTCATGGCCGTGCCACTGATCCTGGGCCCGGTGGGCAGTGCCTTGGTCGACAAATATGGTTGCCGAAGAATGACTATTGTGGGTGGACTCATTTCCGGCGTGGGATTCATCATCTCATCATTCGCCAAGTCAATCGAAATGGTGTTCTTCACGTTCGGATTCATATCTGGGCTAGGTCTATGCTTGTGCTACGTGACGGCCGTCGTCAGTATAGCTTATTGGTTTGATAAAAAACGGACACTGGCCACGGGGCTGGGCGCTTGCGGCACTGGTATCGGTACGCTCCTGTACGCGCCCCTAACACAATACTCGATCACAGAATACGGCTGGCGGGGCACCGTGCTGTTGTTGGCTGGCACGTTTTTCAACTTTTGCGTATGCGGTGCCCTGATGCGCGACCCCGACTGGCTGATCGCTGAACAGAAGAAACCTCCAGCCACCGTAGCCGTGGCCTCGGTGGCTTCTAAGCCTTGGACCGACACCGAAGAATCAATCGTAGACCACTGTTCGGTGATGTGCGTCTTAAACGAGAAGAACCCCGCCGCTGGCCCTGTCAAAGGAAGATTGAATTCCGAGATGTTGGACATACCGGATAATGAAAACTCGGATATCGCATTAATAAGGCGTTTGATGACATTAAAGCAGGCATCCGAAAACCGTCAGACCGGATTAAACATCACGTTCCGCCGTCCATCCGAAGTGTGCCACGAACAGGCCAACAGCAATAACGGTTTCCGATCGGTCATTAATTTGCCGACATACGTCAAGCAAAATGAAAAAGTACGTATTTGTAGTACGTTACTAATACCTTAGTATCTAAGAGCAGTAGTATAGGTAATACTGTCGTATATGATAAAAATGCAATTAAAAAGTTAAAAAAAATAAATAAAAATGTTTTTTGAAAACTATAAATATAATTTAAGATGAACCTCGTGAAAAATTGTCAAGCATTCTTGCTCGGTTAAAACAATTTTATCCACACAAAATCAAATAAAAACTAAAATAACTAGAAATGATCAAATACCTATAAAAAGTTGAAAAGTCATCAGAATGTTTGCTTAATTTTACCACGTCTAGAAAAAGCTAACATAAGTATTCTCTAAAAACGCCATGCTTCTACGGAATTTTAATAAAAAAACGAAATTAGAAACAATGAAACCGTTAGTTCAGTAAATTTTACCGTTTTTTCTTAAACTTTTTCTCAATTATTCAGAAAACTACAAGAAGAATCAAAAAATAACTTCCTTGATAAACCAACTAGGCAAAATTTTCTTTTAGAAGAGTTTTTTCACTTAAAAATCGGAACAAATTTCTTGGCAGAAAAGTTGTTAATAGGAAGAAAAAATTTCACATCATAGTAAAACGAATACATTCTGCCTATAATTTTCCTCCAAACGTTACATAATTATTTTGGGTCAAGTCAATTGTTTGATAGATTTGAGAAATAGTTTTTACGAATAACACACACGTCATGGAAATATTTTACGAAAAATCCGTAATCCCATTACTGGAAGAATGTCTCCTCGTAATGCGATAGCATTTAAGATCGCATTATTTATTTGACAGTAAGCTCCTATTATATCGATAGGAATTTAAGAGTTTTAATAAGTGCGTGTATACTTTATGGGATAAATCATTCGCATTTCAAGTGAAAACAACATAATAGTATTATCTAATTTTAGATGGATAAATATAATACACGTAGTACGCACATAATAGTAACTAAATAATTTTAATTATTATGTCAGTCTGTATTATATTTCAGAGTTAGTATCGATATAATCCGACAAGGAACGTATTTCGTTTGATTATTTTGGAAATTAACGAAAGCGTATTTTATTTTATTTTATTCATACGGAATAAATTCCAGTTTACAGATATGAATTTAATAATCAGCAATTGAATAAATTGTTAAAATGATTACTTATCCTAAAACTCAATTAATGACTTATAAACTCGCTATTATTGTATCGACAATATTATTATAATAATCATATTAGTTTACTAAATTAATAATATAATAACACAAACAGTTTAAAATTATTGTTAAACGAAAAGGTGGCTAGCATTGAAAAATTACGAATACGAACATAAAATAAAATAATATTATCAGCTCTTGAATTCTTCAAGGGGTAATTTCGATTATTAAAATTGAAATTCGGCTTTTCACATACATTCCGCAGTTATAGTATAATAATTAATAACTTATAATTATTTTAAAAGACCAATAAAACAATCAGAACGGCATAAGCTTCGCCTTGGCAAGACTGAGTCGAGCCGAAATCGAGAATTTGTACATGATACCCAAATAAAAACATTTTAATTGAAACGAATAGATGGTATAGATAGGTTACAAGAACAGGAATTCTCGCGCGACCAGACTGCCAGAGGCGCTAAAAAGCATTGCGTCGCGGCTCTGACGACAATAACGTTTTATACTTGTAGAAGTATTTTTTTTTTTTTTTGACGAATCAAAGCTATATATATTAATAACCGGAAGCAACGAGTTAGGATGGTTTGTATATATACTCTTAGCAGTTATCGCATTACTACACCGGGCTAGAGGTCCTCCAAAAGGATAATCCTTTTGTCAATTTTGTTTTTTTTATATATATGTACATAAATGACCCAATAGGTCGTAAAAAAAATCCATTACATTGAAATCGTTACTCAAGTAATACTATAAGATAGGTAAATGCTATACAGTGATTTGTATAATAGTAAGTATGACGGAATTACGTTTAACGACGGTAACTAATGGATTTATTTTTTTTTTTTTTTTTTTTTTAATGGAAAATACGTAACATAATCGAACCGTGTTTCGACGAAAATGTCACAACTGAAAGGTATGAAAAAAATATAGACGGAAGTAAAAGTATTATTTTTTGTAAACGAGTGAACCGAGAAACGGATAGACTTTTAACTTTCGTGATCGCGTCTCATTGCCTATTATACACCTTTTAAACGACTAGTTGTCAGATCCGAACGTCAAATTATTGGGTGAAGAGGGGATTGCGTAGAGAAGTATCCGACGATCGGCATTATAATATCAATCTTATAAGAATCGATTAGGTTTTTATGTTTATCGAGTAAATTACATTTATGGACCACCGCCGCCGCCGCTTATTGAAAAAATATCGTTTAAACTCGAATAACAAAACAAAAATATAAATAAAATAAGCAAATATTGATAAACTATTGAGTACAAGCCCCATGTAAGGGTAAAAGATACGTGAGGTGCTTTACCTCCCACACCTCACATAAAAAAATATCCTATGGGTCAAACAATTTATCATTATTCTTATTATTACTGAATTATTGCTTAGTTTGAATCATTCAACACAATATCAAATAATAAATTACAAATATTTATGTAACTTAATAATTTATTTCAATTAAGTTAAAGAATACTCCGTATATTTCTCTTTAGAGAATTAGAAATGGTGGTGGCGTTAACCTTGCTAAATCTTTTGTCATTTACAGTTCTGTAATTGGCTGTCTAAATCTTTACATATTGTTCAGGATTTCATTCCCTAAAGGGCGGACTATTCAATTTATAAACATTAGGTTAAAGTGAAATATAATGTATTCGACCGGGTAATCATAACAAAAGAATTGCCATGCGGATTTTGTTTTTTTATGAATATGTATACGCGTGTTTTGAAAAATTATAAAAGGGATCACGGTGTGTACTCGCGTGTGCTGTTCACTCCACCACTGGTTGTATACCGATAATGGCGTTATTATCAAAGATCTATTCAATGAGGGTTTGATTCTGGGAGTGGGAAACAGGGGTTTAAAACTGAAAATTTGTGGTGTTCTAATTTTATCATAATATATTGTGTATGTAATTTGATATAACATTATATAACATAAAACAATTTCTAATTGGTTTGAATACACAAAATCTGCACTCAGGTACGGACTTGTACTCATCATTACCATTTATATGCTTAAATTCAGCATTTTTCGGGAAAGTAGTTGGTATAGAATATAATTTAGTATTTCATTATTATTATAGTATTCGTAGTGTGTGAAAATTGCTTTTAAAATTAATAATAGTTTAATCAAACATATAAACAATAGAACTAAAAACTCATAGAACATCTATCTTCTTTTAGACATTCTGGTATACATAAACTTAAATGTAACCGTAATACATTTTATATAAACAAATAGAAATTTTAAAATAAGATATAAAGAATACATTTCTGAAATAAAATTAAAAAAGACTGTCTCTTATTCAAATTTCGCTAAACATGTTTTAGAAAATAACTGTCGTATAAGTTTTGATATTAATACAGACTTAGAGAAATTAAATACTCAAGATGACATTTACATTAATTCATTTTTAGAAGAATTACACGCGTACAATGAAATAAAAAAAAATAATTTTAATAATATTTTAGATGTACAAACCTATTTTAAAAATAATGTCGTATATACATATCAATACATTTTAGATAATAAATAATAACCAAATAATTTATATTTCTTAACATATCTATTTCTAATAATAACTTATTTTAAATAATTTCTCCTATTATAATAAATTATTTCTATATTCTATGTAAAACGGCCAATTTGTATAATTTTTTTTTCTATGTATTCCTTCATTTAATTTTTATATTTAATCGCGTTTTACATTTTGACTGTGATATTCCTGATGATAAATTTTTAATTCGAAACCAGTCGTATAATAACAGTTATTATAATACTCCAGGTGACGCATTCATTGTATTATTTATTATTTTGTATTAGTATTTACTATATTTATTATTATTATTATTTTTTTTTTTTTTGACACGGTGTAAATTTGTCGATATCCAATTTTCGGCCAATTTATTTAGGATCGGACGCCAATATTTTCATTCTATATTTCCTCCTTACGTTTAATTTGAATCATATTTCAAAATAAATATACTATTAGATATTGGCCATAACATGTATAAATTATATTACCTCGTCGTTATTCGATAAACGTGTTTTGTCGAGAATTTTAAAATACATAATCAACAAAAATACAACAAAATGTGAAATTGTAAAAAAAAAAAGTAATCCGAATTGGCAGTATGGTATCTCGCCTTAGTAGAATATAACGTGCGTAAATAACTCATGCCCTGAACAATAGTCGATGTGTTTTATACAAAAAAATAAAATAATCGAGGTGTTTACGAAACGAAAATATTTCCAAACACGACCGTATTTTTAGACAAACCTTTATAATCTTTTTCATTGAAAAATGTGTAGTATTTTGCAGTTTATTTATTCTGAGCTTTTTATACGGGACTATAAATACTATATTATAATTTACTTGACGTTTTTCATCTACAGTTTTCGATCCAAGTTTATAAGTCGCTGGCCTCAAACCCGCCGCTGTTCAAATTTTTCCAAGAGAAACATCCGCACCTATTCACGAACCGCAGCAACAGCGCAAATCAGATGAACAACGTGGAAAAGGAGCTAGTGGAAGGCCGATCGACTTGCAATAACACGGACCTCGTAGTCGCTGGTCGCGGACCCGACACTTCGCCAATATTCACGAAAATGCAACGTATTATGCCCATCGATTGTAACTCGATGGGTTCGGGCGTGCTGTCGCCACTGGAATCACTGGCCACATCACCGCCACATAACTGCACCACGGACAACAGTCCCGAACGGCATCCGACGAAACCCCATAATTCCATGTTGAAGAGGCAGTTCAGCACCCAGAGTAGTTACCTGAAAAGCTTACCGTATCACAGGTAAGTCGCACGCTCCCCCCCTCCGTCACCGCTATTACATAATATTGAATTAACCTCATTTTATTATTACCAACATTGTAATTTATACCTATTATTATATAGTTTAGATAGTAATATAATCTTAATCGGTGGCGTCGAGTTAAATTTGAACCGGTGTAGTACGAAATAGGATATCAATATAATTAGTTATTTTAAAAATCGATAATTTTGGGGTACGTGGTCAACTCTCATCACATACGCCTGATAAAGCGAAAAAAATCACAGATTATAACTTCGAATATTCCAAATTCCATTATCGCTTCGTCTGTAAAGACCTTTGCAAGGTCTTGCGATAGCTTCGCCAAAACCACGTCGAGGGTAAGTCAGGGAAAAGTGCAGTTTTCATTTCTTCCGTGACATTTTGCTTTTCTATCATCATGGGATGGGGGAGAACTGCCAGAAGACCAAACTTTGACACCACGACTAAATATTTATAGTCACACTCTATTTTGTTTTCTTTTTAATTAATCCTTAGATTAACTTGTTGCAGTTTTCCATGTCTTTCTATTGTAGCTTAATTATTTTAGGTCCTTGTATTTCTATTGCCTTAAACACTTTGTATAATACTTCTCTTAACGTATCTAATAACAATAATTATTGGCTTTAGTACTCTTTTGTGTTTTGATTTTTGCCATTAATCTTATCTCTTATGCATTTAATACATCTTAGTTACTTTTATCCTAACTATATAATACTTCTTCGTTTAAAATCCTTCCTTTCTAGAAGCATTTTCCTGATGCACTACATCTCAGACATTCAGGAATTCAGCCTAATTATTGTCTATTAAGTTACTCAAACTATATTACATGTGTGAAAAAACATCCAATTTAAAATCGAAACCCGGCGATCAGGTATTAACTTTACGCCGCTCTTTATCCAATGGACGTTGTCACTGAATTTTAAAACATATTCAATACAAATACCAGCGACTGCAGACTTGTATATTTCCACCTAAAACCAGCGCCAATATATTATATTAAAAAAAAAAAAAAACTTAATCATATAATATTGAAACTCCACTGTGCGTTTGAAATATTGTTTCATCCTAGGCACCTATTTCTTTTTTCGTTATTGTACACCCGGCCCGCCTTAGTATAATATACATCGCTTTGAACTGCGAGTGATGCGTACAATCCACTATCTACTGCACTCCACTAAAAAACTACTTTGAAAAATTATTCCAAAGTACTATAATATTGATTTGGTTTTTTTTTTTTTGTTACAGCATCGAATATTTTTTTCTCGTTTTTCTAGTAGATTGTCGAGTATCGTATCTCGGAATCAAAAGAATAAACTATCTACAACGAAATCGGTTTTTTAAAGGAAAAAACAATTCAAAAAATTCGACCAAACAAATTCAAAAAATTACATCACCTAAAATTTCCAATCGAACAAATGATATTCGTTTGTCATCATATCGTTTATTTCATATTGTGTTTTCCCGAAAATCGAAATAATCTATATTTTCAGAGAAAATTCGACAAAAAACGCATGGAAAAATATAAAAGTTTGAGAATTATAAGATCGTTTTTCCTTCAAAGCATGTTTATATAAGTACGAAATGGTTTTTATATAATACATACCTATAGAATATTTTATAGTTTTTGATTGTTGAACCGTCTTGGTAGTTATAGAATATAATATTATCAATTGTACAATGTAACATTTAGAATTTAGATAATATTTAACATCATAATAATTATCATTCATAAATTATGTACCGTATATTTTGGCAAAATCCCATGCACGTTATGTAATTTATGAATGCTCGTAAAATTAGTAAATCTAGAAAGGGCTGTGTATACGACGAGGATAACAAATCGAGTGTGTATAAAATATTATCATATATTGTGTCCGATTTGATGGGGGGGAGGGGGAGGGGTATAGCGAAAAAATATTTATAATTTGTACTGAATATGATAAACACAATATTAACATAAAAATTATTCACGAAAATACGATATAGTATTGAATTGAAAGTGAAAAAATCACGTGTTTCAGGAGTTCCGTGATGTACAAAGGACCCATAATGAATATCCAGACAAAAACGATGAAAGCGTCTTCGTGCCCGGACATATACAACAATTCTACATTTACAGTCAATAGTGAACCCGATTCCGTAAGTGTTTCTATAGATCCCGGCCGTTTTTCTTTACGTCCATATATATTATTTTAGATTCCGACGACGATGACCTATGAATATGATAAAAACAAAAAACTTTTTTTTAAAAAAATGGAGTTTTACGCACTTATACTTAAGCTGTACGCGCAAAACTAAAATACCGAATACCTACCCAATACGCGTCCATCATCGTAATATATCATTTTTACAGATATCCCTGAAAAGAGATAGTTTTGTCAAAGTAATCAATCAATTATCGATTAAGCGCGTGAATACGGTACGTCGGGTTAGGCGGAAAAGATCGTATTTCCATCCGAAAGAGATAAAAAAGGTAAGGATTATTAGGACGGTCGTCTAGTGATGATGATTATGATGTTACGGTGACTCGTGGATGTTCCTAACGGATGCATTTGGCATGACATGATATTATATGCGAATGAAAAATTGCGAAAAGGATACACGATTACTACTTGTAATTTCAACAGTTCACATTTCATTAAAAAAAAAAAAAAAAACAAACATAGAGAAAATGAAACGTTAAGATGCCACTCCCACGTAAACTGTCTCAATCTGACAAACGGGTGACAAAATGAAATTACGTGAGTTCTAATTAAAATCATGACGTTAAAGTTGAAATTATAGTTTAAAAGCATGTAACAATAAATTTGAAGAAGACAATTTTCTTAGGCATAGTAGATACGTTGTTGTGGCAGTCTAAAATATTGGCAAACAGACATGTTGCAATTATTAAAAAAATGTACACACAGAATGGTTTAAAAATTATACTTAGTCTAGAAAAGGCTAGTACACGTATTCTGTGAAAATTGCAGGTCTGAGATAATTTTTAATCAAATTATAACAAAAAACAAAATCGAAAATAATGAAATTGTTACTGCTGTAAATTAGCAGGATTTTCTTACATTTTTTCTTAGGTTTTCCACATATTAAGAAAATTGCACGGAATATTAAAAAAGTAATGTTTTCAATACACCAACTAAATCAAAAATGTTATAAAAAAGCTATTTTTTCGATTTTTGACCTATAATTTTGTTACCGGTTTTTCCGAATTATTTTTAAAATCCCTAGGAAAATTAAAAAGTGGCTTAAATGATGTTACACTTGATACATTGGAGCAAGTATTCTTTTCGAAAAGTTGTTTACAGACAGAAAAAAAAAGTTCCGCTTTGAATCCAAAATATTATAGTAAAATTAATGCATTCTCATTGCGCTCAAAATCTTAAACAAAAACTAACATGGCTGTATCTTTTTTTCGTTTCGACAGTATATTATTTGCGTATCAATGCCTTCGAAAATTGTCTCCACATTACATTTTGTGGACTGCGTTTAAATTCTAGTTTCAACCAAAACACCGAAATTTATGGTATATGCATAACCGCAATAATTTTAAAATGTGTACCCGTAAATTAAACTATAAAGACAGTGGATGTGGCAGATGTGTGATATCCTCTTAAGAGGACATGATACCCGTATGTGCTGTTCTTACAAACCCAAGATTTAACGAACTTTCGTTCAACTCCGGACAATCGTGTACAGGTAGATTTAATACTAAAATTAATTTCCCTGGTTCCAGGTTTAAAGGTAAGAAAATACTACCTGCATGGTTTATCGATATTTTAATTTTTAAACGTGATATAAAAATGTAAAATATCGAAAAAACTACGGACAAATATCATCGATAATTTTCTTAGGTACCATTATGTTGATAATATCAAATCATTCTAATATTAACGATAACTTCATAAAATTATCCCGGCTGAACGTAATTTTTCTAGATCTGCAAGACGGGAACAGCACCTGCGGCATCCTATTAAATCAAAAATGATTAAAATAAAACATCATTTATTGGGTTAATAACATCGAAATTAGTGATAGTATTACTGACTATAACTAAAGCGGTTTAATAATTTTTGACGACTGCATGGCTAAATTATTGTAACGAATATAATTTTTTCGGGGAACAGTTCATGAAATGTTATAATTATAATTATTATTAATTGTTTTTGTCAGTTTTAATACGATTTCTTCCATCGGGTTATTTTATAGTTTAACTTTTTCTCAAGGATACTTATACTTTTTTACACTTAAATAAGTTTTTTTTTTAAACTACCATCGGGTTTATCGAACTATTAACCTATACCGGCTAAGTGCCTAAAACGCCTAAAATAAACAATGGGAACATACCATACAAGGTTAAGAGGTGAAAATATGCATGTCCAACTGGAATTTAATAATTGTGACGCATAATTCGGTAATATTATATGTTACGATTATTTAAATGCTATGCATGCAACAATAAAAACTAATCTAATGGAAACAATTTCGTCCAATTCTGGCTAAAAATCTCGTCCAAGAAGTAGACATTGTATAATATCTGTGCGAGCTGTGGAAAACGAGGTAGCTCAAAATATTGAGCGTTTATAGACCGTTTAATTGAAAATTGAAAACAAAAAAAAAAAAACAATAAACGATACGATTGTGTATAGGTAATATCACTTTTGGGACGTCGGAAAAAAAGGATAAAGCGGTAGCGGACGTGATCGGACTTTTACACTGCGTTTATATTCGGACCGATGTTAACTCGTGGATACAACACGGAATAGGTAACAGCCGGACGTGACGAGTTTATCAATAATACGCACATGTCCCTCCGTTCCGCGGCTCCGGAAATCCTTATGATTTTGGATTCGTTCATTTCGTGTCCGGTCCGATAATTTTAACGTCGAAAGACACTGAATTAGTAATAAGTAATTTAAAAGGATTTCTGACCGATCCCGAAATGATTTTTACTGTCGAAACTTTAACGAAGTTTAAATATTAGTGTGAACTCGTGTGTTATTCAGAAAGCGAATTCTGTGATTCCAAATTATCAACAACAATATCTGTGTTTGTGGCAAATTGTAGAAAATCGGGCGTTGCGATACTATTTCGCGGGCAAAGTGAAAAAAAGTTTACGGTGTGTAGGTGCAGTGTTCAAATCTATTCGGATAGAGTAGATAAATTATTTAAAATTAAATAAGAAAATGTGAATAACGCGTCCACCTGTTTTAAACAAACGTAAAAATAAACATGGATACCGCTGATAGATGTGCACCATCGTTTTAGTAAAGAAGTTGGAAGGGAAGATGTATATTAGAGTAATTATATTTATATCTGTACGCCGCAATAAACTGTTGCTAACAGACAACGGTTCTGAGCAGAGTATTATCAATCATATTTTTCCCTCGTTTCCGAGATAACCAGAAATCGAACGAAAAATTGACATCTCAAAAGTACCAACTACATAAACAAAAATACTACAAGGAAGTGTCTATAAAGGTGTCTTGATTTAAACAAAATCTCTGGTAGCAAAGTAATTTACAGACACACAAAGCAAAAAACCAAGGCATTGTAAAACTACTTGCTTGATGGTTTGATTCACTCGGAATCTAATAATACTACAGTATTCTTACAAATAATACGAATTATACGAGACAACTCGCTTACTAAATATGTATTAAATATCAATCGTTTATTCTTTTTTGAGATTGACTGTTCGTCGAATTGTTATTGTCGAAGCGTTCGCCCGCGTTATAATTACGGCGAGAAATATCAGTTTTCAAATCGTTTCGATACCATTCACCGGGTCCGCGTAAATCCGGTACGTGTAATGTGCCACGCCCGGTCGGTGCGGCGGAAAAGCGGGAAAAGTCGCGCGTAGTATATTAAAACGATCATTGTTTTAGATATTTTGCGAAAACCGCCGCAGCCGCGTGATCGTAATCCGGCCCGTTGACGATTTGACACGGTAATGCATTACGGTCGTCTACCGTGGTGCCGTGTACGCGAATAGAACGCCCCGGAAAACCGAACGGGGACACCGATTCCGTAATTTTCGCACCGTCTGTTTCGCGGTTTTCAACGCGATTTCTATCTATCTTTTTATTTTTTTTTTTTTTTCTCCTCTGTCGCCGTTTTACACGAAAACCGGTTGGAAATCGCCGCGCTACGACGAACTAGCGCGTGCGCCCGCGGATACACAAACATACACGCGCGTGCGTACGTGCGATGCGAACGTCCGCAGCGCAGAGAGAGAGAGAGAGCGAGAGAGAGAGAGAGTGAGAGAGAGTGAGAGGGTCCAACCCGTCCACTGGAAATATGTTTGGCCTTGTCGCGCGGACGTTTTATATAGAGATTAATGTGTTTCGCCGCGCGGGCTACGGACGCACGCGTTCACGCCCGCCGCGGGGTCCGCCGGCGGTTTTGTTCGGGCGACGCGCCGTTTGCGCGCGGTGAACGCCGACGCGCGGCGGAGTCGCGCACCCCGATCGTCCGCCGGGCCGCGGCCCGGCGGCTCGGAAACGCGCGATGTTTGGTGCGGAACGGTTTTCGCGGGCCGATCCGCGGGTCGTCCGATCGCGGCCCGCCGCGACGCGTCGTTTATTATCGTCGTCGTCGTCGTTACTGTTATTGCTGTTGTCGTCATGACGTTCTCCCGCGCTAACCCGACGGACTCGACGGCCCGGGCGGTGTGGTTTGCGCGACCCGGTCAGGCCGCGCGGTTTTTCACCGCCGGCACTGCGGGTCTCTCGGGTCCACGCGTCGTAAACCGCAATTAGCGCACGACAAATTCGCCGGCACAGCGTCGGACTCGAACCGGCCACCTCCGATGTGGGTTCGGTTCGCGCCGCATAGGCCCGTAGTGAAACCCCCGAAGCCGACTCCGGCTCGGGCCCGAACTCGGCCGAGGTGTAAACACGGTTCCCGGCCGATAAAAAAAAAAAAATAAGTGACGCGGGCACGCGTACAGCGCGTAAATGTCGCGGCGACGGGGGGATTTCCGTGCGAGACGGCCGGGAATGTGTCGATTTTCAACGTTTTCATAATTTCGACTGTCGCGCGCTGTAACAAGACCAATCGATCGTCATTTTAGCGCCAGAACGGTTCTGTAATTATTTCGATACGGCCTTGCGAAACGGTATTGTTTTGCCTGTCTAAAGCGTTTCAGCTATCCAAACTAAATTGTTGAACAACGGTATTATGATTTTTCGGAAAAACGGAAAAACGGGATCACGCACATACCGCACTCTCCGTGTTTGGCGCGTTTATATCCCGGCAGTTTATAGAACACGACAATGTTTTCAACGAGTATTATGTGTCCGCGCTTGTGAAGCACATTTCGAAACACAGAAAATTTGACACACTCCCGACTAACGAATATCAGTGAATATATTGATTTTTTTTTTTTTTGTCGGATCCAAATTAAAATACCGTTGACGTGTTTTTTTTTTTTTTTTTCTATGATGGATAATTAAAAACGAAAAACGATTGCCGTCTCCGTCTTACAAACGTTTTCGACATACCAAATTTGCGTTCAACAGGGACAAATGTGTGCTCTCAGTTTTAATTTTAAAGTGAATTGAGATGTTTTCAAACGATAACAACATTATCTGTGTGTTATTTTTTCCGATATTTTGATTTACAGTGTGTACATTTACCATCTCGTTAGATAAATGCGTGTACTCGCATTTCTCGTGAAAACGTGCAAGATGGAGAAATCGCACGTGCTGTTATCACGTCCTCTTAAAGAGAACATTATTCGATAATATGATGATGTTTCTATTTATAAATTTTTTTTTCTAGCTGATACGATTAGTTCGGAATGCGTACACAATACACAGTTAGTACCTACTGCAGTGTATTTCGATGATTTTCGGGGACTGGCTGATTTTGTAACTATATATGATTTTATAATCCGTTTAACTCGACCGAGAAACAATTTCGTCTGTAGTGTCCGTGGTTTCGGTTTATATTAGTTATACGATTATACTCATGTTGGTATTAACGAAACGAATTTGACGTCATAAATTTTCTCGTAAACTGTCCGTTTTCCACCACACATGGTGTCGAAAAAATTTATACACGCCTAGTTTTATTCGACCAATATAATACGGAGGGACATTATTGTTTTTATTTTTAGAATAAATCTACAGCAAACGAGAGTTACCTTGCTTTGGTATACTGATGCGTAAAAAAAACCCTACTCCAGTCGAATTTTTCAATTTCTAACCCTTGAGAATATGATGATGCGCACCTAAGAAGTGTAATCAGCGAAGATGGACGAAATAAGAGCGAAATAATAAAACATGTTTGTCAAGCCAAAATAGCTTTTAACAGCGAGAAAACCCTATTTGCTTCAAATAATATCGGCCTTAAAATAAGATAAAATCTATAGAAGACATGTGTCGAGGTTCCGTGTGATTTTATTTACGATCGAGAAAGACAAACAACCCCTTACATTTTATAACGTTGTGTGCAGAACACGGCTGTAGAAACGTGCCTATCGACAATGTAAAACGCTGTAATATTAGTTATTAACGGGAAATTTTTTTTTTCCACGGACGAAGTGTTTTCGTCTTTCATAAACATTTTAAAATTCGATAACGCGGTGCCCTTCGCGGTCGCCCGGCGGTCCAATTAAATATCCGTAGCTGCGAATCCGCGCGAAACCGTGGAGATTACCGGGGCCTTTATTCTGAACGCGGGCGCCGTCCAAATAATTACAAATAATTAACGTACGTACGGGTCGGACGTCGCGAAGGCGACTCGTTATTATTACGGGCCGCGTGGCGACGCCGTGCCTATAATGTCGTAGCGTGCGCGCGAAAATGAAAAGAGGAAGGTAAGAATCGCGTTCAATAAAAGAATAATTTTCTCCGCCGTCGTCGTAGTTGCGCCGACCGCAAACACATTGCGAAATCACGAATCGGACGAGCGCGCTCGGCCCTCTTTTTCCGTACGGCCGCTCGTCAATATAACGATTTATGTACACCGGACTGCGCGAACAACGACACGCGCACGCACGTTTATATTATAAGTACGTTTATTATTATTATTGTTATTGTTATTATTATTATTAATAATATCGTATTAAATCGCCATTATCCGCCCGGCGAATTCAATCTCTATACAAACGCGTCATTGCGGATGTCCAGTCCGCGAAATTCGTTCGGTCCGTGAATATATAAACGCAATATTATTAATATGAATGCGAAATACACGACTACGACGATAGATATTGTAAAGTCTGTGTAATTGACGGAGACCTTGGTGCAACGGCCGCAGAACGGTCTGCAAAAATAATGACGGGTCTTTTTGAATTGCTCCCGAACAATCGTTTAAAAAATGTGGAGTTGTCCTGGTTGTCACCCAAGGTCTAGACATTTTTATTCGTAGAGAGGATTCATTGATTTATGAGCGTTATTCATCAAACAAAATAACGAACCACTATAAGAACAACCTTCGTATGGGTGCAGCCTCAAATAAAAAGGTCATTATGCGAGAAGATCAGAAAAATACGAATAGATCGCGCAGAAAAAGATCGAGAGCGTTGGGCGTAGTCAATTAGAAGAAAATAGTACAAGATCTATAGCTTGTGTCGTTCCTTGACGTGATATCGCAGTGGCGGACAAAAATATTTCGGAGAGCGGTTGCACCTTTAGAAGAATATGATTAACAGTAATAGAAAATAATATAAATATTGAAATTCTTTAAGGCTTATATAATAACACAAAAAAAATATCCAGGAAGTGAGTCAAATAATGCTCGGCAGATTTAAACATCGAAAAATGGTCGACTCCCATACAGCTCCCATCCATTGTTTGTTTTTTTCCCAGACGGCTACTGTCGAAAAAGCTTGCGATTCCCAAACGGCTCCGGTATACGGTACTACGCGTATACTTCTCGTAACAATTTCTTGTATTTCTGTACTCGAAACGTACAGATGCGACGCAGAAAACATTCGTGTCATGTCTTACTTTTTACGATAGTAAATTCTATTGAATCTATTCAAATTATTAGAGTTTGGATTTTACGTTTCAAACATTAAATGCCTACATGGATTGGTTTTAAACGAATATTATCAATTTAATTTATAAAATTTAACCAGATATGCGATTTGAATACGATACACAATCGGCCGTTGTGTGCGTTTACTGTTTATTACATATATTAATAACATTTTAAATCCAAGATGTCAAGTGAAATGTGTAATAAAGAAAAGATGATAGACAATTTTTCGTCTTTAATTAATTGACCTAATTTTGTATGAAGCGGAGTGTTGTAAAAAACCGGAGCCGTTTGGGAATTCACTTTTTTGTAAAACGAGAGCCGAATGGACTACATCCCGAAAAGTGAAACATTGCGAGTTTAAAGAAAATCTTGTATAAAAAAAAAAAAGCAAACAAACGATAGTGTTATGTTTAAATATTTTAATGTTAACTCATCACGGAGCGGACGAATTCGTAAAAGGTCGATTACAATACATCATAATTATATAAGCGTATTATTTTATGGATGCGGGTGAAACTATAGTAATACCGTAGGTACCTACCTCGATTATAGTGCTAAAACAATACTTTGTTATCGTTATTGTTATTTCTTTATCGAAAACCTATACACGCTACCAGAGAGGAAACGGCTTTTGTATCGTAATTAAAAAAATAAAAAAAAAAAACGCTGCGAACCGACTAGGACAATGGACGTTCAGTTCCTATATGCATTATGTTCTTGTTAATATAATATTATCAAAACAATTCCGTTCCCCCTCCGCGATAAATAGGTTATGCGTTTCCGTCTGCATACATTTACAATTATTTTATATTTTTATTATTATAGGCGTTGATCACGCCTATATATATTATGTGTAGAATATGCTGCTGGGGACATATTTTCGATAATTTTTTGGGTTCGTCAAGTATATTGAATAAACAACATAATTATTTCGACCTCATCACGTAGATTTCGGCCAATAACAATGCGAAAAATAGAGGCGGAAGCATATCCCAAAACTGCATTTTACTGCACGAATAATACTCGTGCAATACAACTGAATGGGGAAATCATCAGTTCTCCAATCTAATTGGGTCATATAACTCACACATTTGGACTTTCAGGAGAAAACAAATGAAACTAGAACAGTTGCTGCATAATATGGATAGTATATATAATTGATACTCTGAATTAGGTAGTAAAACAATTTAGAATCCATTATATAAACCAAAAAAAAAAAAAATGTTCAATAATATCTCAAATAATAATTGCTATTATGCAAAGAATGTTGATATGGAATAAGATCAATAGTAAATTCCTTCCGAAGTTATTTAATATACGACACATTGATACAATTTTAAACTATTTTTTTCACAATTATTATTATTCTGTACATACCTGCATTTATTTTTTTTTTTTAGTTGCAAAACTATATAAATTATTCTATCAATAATTTAAATTACTAAATATAACGTTATGTATAAAATATATATATTTTTAAATTAGATTCTATTCCGCGAGAAAACTCTCCATTTCTCCCTCCTCGGTGACCTTACCTAAGCATCTATATGACTATATCAATTTAAAATGTATATCAGTAATATATATATAATTATTTAAACACATATTTCATATGCATAAGAACACATTTATTTACGAAACATTGGAATTTCGAGCTGCATACTTTACATTTTTTACTGCTTACTTTACACTTTGTAAAACCATTTTATTCCCTGCCCCTCAATAAACGGGTGTAGACAGTGGTATAGAGTTAATATTTAAAAAAAAGCTGTTCTAAGATAATGGGGACGGGTGCAGCCACTGTTGTAGGTGAAAAGTTGGGAAGGTAGGATACAGAAGAGAATTTAATGTGTATCTGTAAGCTACTACAAACCATTGCCAATGAAAAAAAATGAGCGGGGTTCAGTTAATAGTGTTGCTTTGTCAACAATATAATATATGTAATATTATGGTAAAATGATTACAACAATGTGCGTTTCCATAATAACAATAATTGTTTAAAAAGGATTTTCATTAATAATATTTGTTTAATGTTGTACTGATATTCCCGGTTTTCCCATGTTTTTTTCGGTTTTTCACATTTAATGAAAAAACTCTTGAGGAAATTGAAAAATGATCTCTATAAAGTACCACACTGAGAAAATTTTCTTTCAGAAAAGGGTTTACATCGTATACATCGGAGTAAATTTTCTGATAGAAAAAGTGTTCACATAAAAAAAAATAATAAACTTTGTATAACCAATACATTTTTCACTCCACTCAGAGTCTAAAAAAGTATATATTCCAATACAAATTTATATATTTAAGTATATTATATCTATTGTAGATCATAATAGTCATAATAACATCTATTTTGACATAATAATAATATTAATTAATTAAGATTAATACAAAATTATTAATTTACCGTGTTTTAAAAGAACATGACACCCCTTTCGAATACCATAAATCACGATTATTATTTACTAAATCACCTCCATTTGATGATTCCCAGGCACGACAGTTTTTTCGACGACGAAGTTACTCACATATTATATGTTTTTGCTTTTGGCTCATGAAATCGCCGATATTGGATTAAAAAAAGATGATTTCTCTCGTTATTTTTAAAACAATATTGTTATGTTAAACCTATTGCGTCGTTTAAAGTTGTTTGTCGGTATTAAAATTAAACAAGCAGACCGTCGATAATCTAATGATAAATACCTGTACGTATGTATTATATAATATTCGAATGCATTAACAATATAAAAAATCGAAACTATACGATGCAACGTGGTATCATTTTTATTTTTTACTCATCAAGTGGATGAACGCGAAATTTATATTTATACCTACATCATCGTCATCGTTCATTATATCCGGCTGTAATATCGTCGTTTATAATTATTATAGCACTTGACAGTTTCCGTTTTGAACTTTAAAGTCATCTCGTGTTGGTAATATTTTAATGCTTCCACTGTTAATTACTAACGATTTTCCGGTTTTTTCTTTGCTAATATAACACTCATTTATAGTCAATTATTAAAACGGAAACTCTACAGTGCGGTTAAATACTTACAGAATATAACAGTGGATTTCTAAAGATGATTATTCGAATAATCTATAGGCTGTTCCATTTAAGTATGCACACTTATTAACTCAGAAAGTTTTAACTATTTTCGAAATTAATTTTATTGAACATTTAAGAAACTAGCAGTTCTACGATTTTACAATCGTGTTGTTTTTTGTTACCCTTATTTTCGGAGTTAAAACTACTACCCACTTTAAAATAGATTTTAGCGTTCAAATTTTTGATTTCCATTAATCCGCTGACGAGACATTCGATTTTAAATTCCGAGCGTATTTTAGTATAGGTCTGGGAGAATATATTATTAAAACGTCACATGTCGTGCTGCCAAACCACTCTTACAAATATCTACATATTTATCTTTAAAATCAATATTACCGTCGAGTTTGTTGATTTTCCTCTCGCGTCCTACTCTTATTTTATTACTAACCATACATGCGTGAATACACAAATATTTTATACATTTGTGTCAACGCCTACATAAATATTTAACTTTGTGATTGCCGAGATATTATGCGTAAACTTACGGTTATATAATATATTATTTAAACAAAATAATAGGTATGGGCGTAAATTACTATCCAAAATAAATGGAAACATAAGAATATATATATATATAATACTCATTAGACCCATGGCGTTGCCCAAACTTTGTTTAGATTTTTCGTCATATTCAGAATCTAAAATAAATGATTTTTACTATATAATAGTTATGTATGCATTTATTTTTATCGATAAAATAAGTGTTAGATAATTATAGATAATTATAATTTGTACGTTTCTGCCGGAAAAAAAAAGGCAACGAAAAAACTTCTTACTGCATGCTTATTTTCAAGGGAAGCTGTAAAAATGTTGAGGAGACTAGAGGAGATTTTAGTGGTGAGCTGTAAAGCCCCCTTAGCTCCCCGCGTACTACGCTTAAGAGTAGATAAACATGACCTATAGATTTTGGTAGAAAAACGAATTTGTTTCTCATCCAAAATTTCATTCGGCGTAGAAACTCGTGAACAGTTTTTAAAGGTGTACACAAAATAATACGTGTTATAATAACTCGTATAGATTATATTATTATTAATGTTTATATGAATCGGCCCACGGGTATTATACGTTAAGGCGGTTGAAAGCGAATTGTTTTTTCACATATTTAGACCAAACCAATGGAGTAAATCAAAAACATAATTTCAGCAGTTGAAATTTCCGTGTTGAAAAGTGATTTGATTTCATACACTACAATCAAGCGAAGCAAGTGACCTATTGGTTTGACTATGATGCAATTTTTTTTGTTTTTTAAAATAACTTTTCAAACAAAAATCTTGTTACAGTCGAAAAATTACAAGAAACCTTTTTTGTTGAATTTTGAACCAAGCATTAAATAGGTCATTTTTTTGATTTTTAAAAGGGTTTTCAAACATTAGCGGAATGGACCGGAAACAAAATTATAGGAAAAACGACAAATATTTCTGGAACGACAATTTCATTGGTTTTAATTTTTATGCACTATGTTATTTCCAGAAATATTGTTTTAATTAAAAAATACCAAGAGTCCCGTTTTATTAAATATTGGATCTAGCTGCTGATGAAGTAAATCAATCTTTGATTGTTCAAGCATTTTTTATAATAATTTGGAATAACTAGTCTAAGACGTAAAATGAAAATTGACAAATGTATGGCGTTAAAATTTCATTATTTAAATTTTTACGCTTTGTTTTTTACCAGAAATATTGTTCAAATAAAAAAACGACAAAAGACCTTTTTGTTGCATTTTAAATTCAATTGGTAAGCAAGAAAGTAATTTGTTTTGTTTTTCGGTATAAATTTTTTAATTATTTTCAAAACCGAAAAAGAAAACGTAGAAATAACGGGGATTTTTACGAAAACAATGATTTTATTATTTTTAATTTAATTATTTTACAATAATTTGGTAAAATGTAAAAAAAAATATAAAATTAATAACGCCGAAGCGCCGGGTAAATATTTGCCGGTTTGCCTGTAATTTTGTTTCCGGGTTTTCCCGATTATTTCGAAAACCCATTGGAAAATTGAAAAATTACTTCACTCGTGCACCAACTAGATTAAATTTTTTCACATCATAGTAGAACCAATAGATACTTCGCTCCGCTCCGAATCTAAGAGCAGAATGTAATGTGTAATCATTCGGTTTTTATAAATTGTTTAAGAATTAAGATCAAATTTTTAAGAAAATCGTAAATATTACGACCATACAAATCATATATAAACGAACTTCGCTTAGAACCGTTTTTTCGCTGGTAATGGTTTATCGTTACTTATAGATATTAACTAGACGACTCTATGTATCCCTACTTAATATTATAATAATATTTTATTGGAAAAATATTAAAAAAATAATAATAATAAATAAACTCATTGTGTACTTTAACTAATTTAACTAAATATAAAACCGAAGGAATTTGTTAACAAAACATAGAAAAAATCAAATAATTCAAATTATGTTTTAATTATGGAAATTGAACAGTGGTAATGAGCGGATTTCACTCCAACTAATGGGTCTAAATAATATTCGTCCATAAAACGGCCGTTCGCCTACCTCTTAAATGTGTACCGGGCAGTAGATAAGTGGAAAAGTCTTGTCGTATAAAGGTGGACATTAAAACATTAATATGTATTTACAAATTGTATAGAATCGGAGAACATTTGGAAACCCGTTTCCAACCATATTAATAATGATAATAGGACGAGTCGAAAAAAAAAAAGGTGTCCAATGTGATAATACTACAGAGCTGATGATGATCGTGTTACGTAGCCGGACGAAATACTTTCGCGGATAATATAAATGGCGGCAGCGGCGGCTTTGGGTCATACGGCTTAATAAATGGGAGATACGTTATAGTTCCGCCAAAGAATTTCGATTATTTCACCGCATTTTCGCAGCCTCGCGATCGATCCGCACGATGGCGGTGGCAGCGGCGGCGGTTAATGGCGCACTATGTGCGTGTATACCTATAGTTTCGGTATGTTGAGTCGGGTCAAAAGCTAACGCGGTTCGATCGATAGCGTTCGCGCAACCGCTCTGACTCGGTTCTCTCCGAGCAGGTTAAAATTCGTACTCGAAGATCGGGAAGAGACGGTGGCGGTGCGGCGGAAACGGCGGCGGCGGCGGGGGCAGCAGACCGATAGTGCGGGGGAGGAGTCGCAGAGTGGTGCAGACGATGGGGAAAGAGATTATAGTGTGTACGCGGTACGGTGGCGGTCGGTGGCGGGGGCGGGGGACTTAACGGTAGGAAAAAAAATACTCAACAATGGCCTCGTTATGTCTTGAACGTCATGTACATAGCATATAGTTGTATAGATGTGATAGTAATGATATTATATGTATATGTAAAATGTCCACAACGTATAAGTTTGTGGGCGCATTTTTTCGAAATTTTTTTTTTTAAAAAGCGGTAAAATGTCCATGACTTGTACGCGAGCGTATGATGTAGAAGTAGGTATCTATGAGATATTAATTTGTTTTGTTTTATTTTTTATTTTTTTTGTATTTACTGTAAACATATTAAAACCAAGAGCTCCGCCCGAAAAAAAAATGTCAATATAGCACAATTTGTTTGTCACCATACGAAAAAACTTGTCACTACTTATTTGTTTAAATTTTTGAACTTTTTATTGATCTAATACGACTTAATGGACTATTATAGATATCGACAATTTTAGAAAGCTAATATTATAACTTATGACCAATCGAAATATTACTTTGAAATAATATTTATAACAATACTTATAAGACACGAACGGCGCTTAATGCGGAATTGCATGTAAAGTCCGATAAAAACTGCAAGTTTAATTGTTGGAAGCCAACCGTGGCGGGGCATAGGTCGCATGACGTATGTCCGATGCACATGAAAAATTATTGAAAAATAAATTATATTGTACTGCATTTATAAACATGCACGAATAAGAAATATGAACTTCACGTCAGGGTCGGTACTGCAACGTTTGGATATTGTAAAAAGATAAATAAAAGACTATCAAAAACGAAAATTAGTTTTTAATGATGCGTTTTTAATTTTTGTATAACGTTGTTATTTTTTTCTTTTACGCATTTATTTTTACGGTTTATCCAAACACATCTCTACTGTTTATTTTATAAGACAGTATTTTCAAAATCCTTATTCCATTAACAGCCTAATATACATTTATAATATACATACAATTTATCCCCATAAATATTGTATGCAATTCTAAAATAATATTATTATACATTCCAATAAGCGCATGTCTCTTTTACGATTCTAGACCTTGGGTCAAGATAGACCAAACTGATATTTTGTGAAAATTTATTATATGGCTTATTATAAAAAACAATTTGATTTTTATATTCTTGTGCTAGAGAGCATAAGTTCTTAACCGATGATCCATGAATCCCTTAGGAGTTTTTGGGTGACATGACTCGGGTGTCCACGAGCTATTTTTTTTTTAAATAATCTGAGAATGATTTCGTTTGAAATTAATTCAAATTATTCATTGAATCGAGATCATTAGTTGAAGTAGAAACTGTGAATTTATAATGTAAGAAATATAAAGAAATGGAAGCTGAACACGATCTATTTTACGGTACCCGGTGAATTGATGGCGAACAATTGGTCGCCGGTTAAAATGATCGCCAAAAAAAAAAAATAAATAAATAAATAATGTAGGTATTGATTTACATAGACTTCTCTGGTTTACATTACGCAATTATTAAACAAAATAATAATAATAAATTTAATAAATTTAATAATTTATTGATGTTTAGCTTATTTATCCGTTAAATTATTTAAAAAAAACTTGATAAACTATTCGACTTTTACACAAGTTATATTAATAAACAATTTTAATAAAGTATTAGGAAATCAATAAAATGTTTAACAACAAATTATTTAATTTTATTAGTTATAATAAATTACTACTACGTTATTGTAGTATTAGTATATTAGTATAAACCGGAGAAAAATTTATATAAAGTATTATTTTTTTCGGCGATCAATTTAATCGGTGACCAATTTGCACCCGCGATCAATTGTTCGTGACCAGTTCACCGGCGATCAATTGTCCACGACCAATTGTGCACGATCAATTGTTCACAATCAATTTACCGAGATCCGTATTTTACTCCACAAAAGTGCGTTGGCTTTCCATAGGACAAATTATGATATGTTTTATAAAATTAAAGAAAAAGTTTCTTAGTTTTTTAATTAGAAAACCAAAATATCACTCTCAAAATACTTTTTTAATGAGTTCATTCATTTCATATGTTTAACACGTATTTAGTTATTTGAACAAAGTAAATGCATTGATTCAAGGACGAGAAGTGACAACTATGGAAGTACCCGAAAAAAATTAATACATTTATAAACAAAATTTCCCTGTGGAAGAGAATATTTTAATCTGAAAATTTAGCACACTTTCAAACACGACATTTTAAAAAAATAATATTGCTTTTTCCATTTCCATATAATATTTTTAAACATCTTGACGTACGTACAAATTCGTTTGGTGATAATTTCGATTCTACACGTAATCAAAAGTGGAAATATGGTTACCTACATATAGCAATCTTTTTCTTGGGGACATAAATATTATTAACGATTCAAACATCGTCAAAAACGAATTAATTGATTTAAGATCAAAAGAAATAGCACATCACGATTTTCAAATAAAAAAGATAATCGAATTTCGGTATATATTGACGAAAGAGTATCCGTGAGTAGTATACAGGGCAATGACATTTTTGATTCCATTTACCACTACACATCTCTGCGAAACTGGATTTTCTACAATGATCACTATTAAAATGAAATCAAAAAAACCGATTGAATAAAAAATGATGTATTCTTTCCTTTTTAAGAGAGGTCCGTGATTATACTTAAAACTCGAAAGCGGTCCATGGCCCAGAAAAGGTTAAGAATCTATGTGCTAGAGAGACAGTTACATCACTACAATTACAAAAAATAAATATACCAGTGTTGATTACAAAATTTTTTATTGCCATTTAAAAAATGTTCTGTCTGACTAAAATTTTTAAAGCCATATGGTTATTCAAGAACTGAGTTCGGCTCTTCTTGACGCAAGGTCCGGTATTATGTTAGGTATACACATTTTAATAATAATAACAATGCTGAAATGTATACAGTATAAAACTTGTAGGTACTGTTTTGCCTGTGTTTACAATTATAATATATTTTATATTCAATTATAAAAACAATGTTATTGATTTAGGAATGGTACGCTGACATGAAAGAATTGTTCAATGGAATTTTGGACTTCAGTATGTTTTTGGAACTTCATTTCTTGTTACTGTCTCTGTCCACGGTACTGCTGTTCACATGGTTCATCGTACCGTATTTCTATTTGACCGACTTTGTCATGAACCAAGGACTAAGCGAAACCGACGCATCCACCATTATCAGTACAATCGGATTTACAAACACTGTCGGAATGGTACGTATAGTATACTAGGTAACGGGGGCGGACTGGCCCACCGGAAGGCACGGAAATTTCCCGGTGGCCCAGTGCTGGGCCAGCGGTGGCCGGTGGTCATTGTTGCCGCCAAAATTAAATAAAAAATAATCGATATAAAATTGTGTATTATTGTGGGCTTAATTACAGCCTGTATGTTGAATCGTGTGTACAGACATAAATGAAAATACAAAATGATAAAATAAAAATAGTTCTCGGCCTTTCGGTGGTTAGTTTTCGGAATTCGGCGAGACGCATGAAGACGCGATACGCGATCGTTATCTTATCCGTATTCTGTGGGACTTGATAATAATATTTGTAAATATAAATTTATATATAATGTCTTTCGTGTATATACGACATTCGTATAATGTATCGTTTGTACACTCTATGATATTAAATTATCGACTGTGACTGTCCGACGTCCGTGACCGCACGTTTGGTCGATTCGTGCTTAGTTGATCGTTTAAACTTTAAAAGTCCTGTTGCGTATTTTTAAGTAACTAATTATAATGGAAAATATAAAAAGAAAACACAAAGGAAATGCTGAAAAATTAAGAGGAAAAAAAAGGAAATTGCTTAGCGTTAATGCATCTAAATGTAAATCTTTAGATTTTATGTTTCAAAATCAATTTAAAATAAAGGCGTTGACAAAAATATTGAATCGAGTTCTAATAACGTAACTGTGAGTACTCTAAAATCTGATAAATCAATTACGGTATCTAATTCTAAAATTGATATAGTTTTCCCCGAAAAAAGTGAAAATGTATCGATGTCATCAACTTCCAGTAAAAATATCAAAAACAATTTTCAATCCGAAATTCAAAACAGTCAAGAAAAAAATTATAAGAATAAATATTGGTTTAAAAAAAACAAATGAACTTAAAATTTTATTTTAATTTCATCTGATTCGACCTAAATTTGACGACCTAAACTGTATAAAATTATATAAACGAAAAGATAGCATTTTAAGAAACTGGTTGAGTTTTAATAGTACGAAAAATAAATTTTTTTGGTCTGGTATGTCTCGCCTCTCATTCTGTAGAAGTCTAAAAGATGATAAAAATGCTCTATTTGCAAAACATAGATTAGAAAAAAATTCTAAACACCTATATCAAAGAATTAAATAAAAACCATTCTGATTATGCAGAAAGTTTTATGTTGCATAAAAACCGAGTATTAAACATTTAATTCACGGACAAATAACATCACAAAGACAAATAGAATTAAGTAATAGGCGAGACATAATGTCTCGTCTATTATTGAAACTATAAAATTAATTGGAAAACGAGGTCTTTCTTACCGTGGAACGGGTTATTCTGTAGCTTCTTGCAATTTATTTAACGAGACTATTGATCACGGTAATTTTTTAGAACTTTTGATTTTTTTCAAGTAAATTTGATCCATTATTAAAAAATCATTTGAAAGAATCGTGTAAAAAAAATGAAGAACATAGAAGACCTCGGGTTTTGGTTAGTTAATAAAAGAAGAGGTAATTTGGAAACATTTATATCTAAATCAACGATCAATAATATTATACAAATTATTTCAAAACTGATTAAAAATAAAATTAGTTTGAAAATATTGGAAACGGAAAAATTTGTTATTTAAGTTATAAATATGTATAAAAGTGTTATTTTTTTATACAGGTACCTTTTTGAATGTAGATGTATATAAATGTGGCCACTCTAGTTCTAAATCCCGATAACATTTTTAGTCCCAGTCCGCCCCTGCTAGATAATAATAATAATAGAATTACATTGCTAAACATATACAACGGTTATTAGTACTCAAAATTTTTAGTAAAATTAATCGTTAAAAAAGCGTTTTTAATTATTGCCAAACAAAACAAAATAAAAATGAGATGATACTGATGGGTGTGCCATTGTTGTAAGCAGGAAGTTGGGAAAGTAGGATACATAAAAGTTATTTAGTTTATATCTGTAAGCGACGATACATACAAAAGTGTGGTGAGACCGACAAAGTTGCATGGTTTACAGCGGGGGTCGGCAACCTTTTTAACCATGCGGGCCATATTTATTTCAACTTTTCGTCGAGGGCCACATTAATAAAAAAAACAAATTTTACACATAATACAATACTAATAATTTTATCACTATTAAATTTTGTTATTGTATATGGAAATATGAATATAAAAAATATAAATTTCTGCGTAGAAAAAAAATGCTTTTAGAAAAAAAAAAATGTAAAATTATATATTAATGTAATTTCTGTACCTGCAATTTACTAGTTAATTTTTCGATGTCAGCTTGTAAACTTGTCATTGAGACTCGTAATACAGCGTGCGTATATTCATCACTAAGGCATGAAGGTGTTTATTTTTTCTATACTTCACAGTAGAATATGTCTTGATTTTGCTTGATTTTTTTTCCAGTTTTGCCCAATTATTAACAAAAATATACAGATAATAAAAAAAACGAATTTCTTACTCACTGCAAATATCTAAAATGCTTAAAAAAACAAAAGTTGTTGTTTTTTGATTGGAATAAGATTCTAATAAAACAGAAATTCGTAAAAGTTTAAAGTAATGAAATCATAACGCCGTAAATTTGTTAAAATGCAACAAAAAATGTCTCTTAGCCTTGAAATCTAAAATCAATACATATTCACTCTGTTCAGAATCTAAAACATTTTTTTCATTTAAACTTAAAATATACACTGACAAAAAAAAAGAATTATAATATTTAGATTAAAAAACAAATTTACAACTAGGTTTATATTTAGTTTAGGTGCTAGATTTATACATGTTTACATTATGGCCTTTCTACGTTAACTGATTAAGTTATTGATACATATTTTCTATAAACAATACCAATTGAATTATACTGGATTATATCAATTATTGATTTAATGCCATTATGAATCTTACCGATTTTTTTTAGAGCTCTCCACATCCATTTTTTTTTTTTTTTTTTATGAAACACTATATTTGTACTTTTTTAAAATCAATTAATATGTTACCTCACCATTACATTCTTCTAGCTAATGTGTATAGTCATTCTCAATCTATAATATTCAGTGTCAACCTGGCCACGGTCTCTAAGCCGCGAACGTGTCAGGGGCCTCCAATCGTGTTTGTGTCCGGGGCCCCTTAAAGCCCGAGATTTATAAAATATTGTCTTTTAACTACTGTTTTTTGTGCAGAGATTAAATGTGCAATATACATTTATAATAGTACTGCAGTTTAGACTATAGTTGACTATTACAGACTAGTAAAATAATAAAATATAATAATTTAATATTATTAATTATTATTATATGAGTGATTATATTTATACACCAATTACTGAAAACTGAAATGACGCTAAAAAATCCCTTTTTGTATGTATAAAATATTTATATAAATATGTATCCGCGAAATTCATTGTTATATTTTTAGAAATATTATCGACCAAAATAACCGACTTCCTACCAAATATTGCATTGATTTCCATGACCTTTGAATTTTTCATCCATGGGGTTTCTAAAAAAAAAATGTTCTAGGGGTCTCAATGTGCTGGGCCGACACTGATTATATTATTCTCTCCCCTGCACATTAATCTCAGCAAATTTGCTTTGTTTTAAATCGTTTTAATAGATAAAACAAACCTATACATTATTATTAAGTTTATTTTTAAGACTCGATCCGTTTCAGATATTGCTCGGCTGGGCCGGAGATTACCCTTGGATGAATGTGACCAAAGTATACGCATTTTGTCTAGTGGGATGCGGTGTTTGTTGTCTTATCATGCCACTTTTCATCGACAACTGGTGGGCATTGGTCATCATCGGTGCCATATTCGGATTGTTCTTTGCGTCTAATTTTTCTTTTACACCGGCTATTTTGGTAGAACTCATACCGTTGGAACGGTTCACTACGGCCTACGGTTTGATATTGCTTTGCCAAGGTATTGGAAATCTTCTGGGACCACCATTGGCAGGTAATGTATAATACATCGCATAGTCGATAGAATAATAATATTAATCACCACATATGATATCTGCAAACAAACACGCGCATATACCATATGGATAAAGAGCGGGAGAGAAAGAGAAAGACGCGATAGTGGAGAGATAGTGTACCTTAGTATAATTTATAAGATATAAAAACTAAATAACAATTAAATTAAAATAAATTTAATTATTGATGAAAATTTGGTTTTGAATACAATTATAAATTATTCCTTGTAATTAAAATGTTATAAGATTGAATACGTTAAATCGTTCAATAGATTTTTTTGGGAGTTTTACCTTTCGAAAATGTTTATTGTAAACTTCATAATGTTTGCTGTATGCCATTCACCATTTTTTGCATGAGGATATACCTATTCCACTGTTGTAAGATTCAAAATGGCACACGTACTTACCAGTGTTAGCATTTAATTCGAAAAAAATATATACACCAATACATTTTTGTTCTAAGCATTTTAAATTTTAATATAAATAAAATGGTCAAATGAAAAACTTACACAAAACAAGTTTCATCAAGAATTTACAGTAAAAAAATAAAAATTCAAAACAACAATAGATCAGTTATCACTTATTATGTAATAAAAACACACATTGTCCCTGTTTATGACAAACTGAATTCTCCTTGAAATATACATACGGATTCCAATGCCGCTCGAAAATGTTATAAGGGTTACTTATACGGATTATGGGTGAAAACCGAAATTTAATTTCTGTTTTGGGTGTATTGGGTTATATGTCATCAAATTCAATCGGGTGATATGAGATTACGGTTTTTATCATACAATCTGTTTTTTTTTTTTAGAGTTTCGGCTATACGGGCTAAACGGGTTCAAAGTCTTGGATAAAATAAAATTAGACTATATTCCATATAGGTACTAATAAAATATTTATTTCAACATAATTTGAGTTTAATTTTTATAAAATATAACCAAAATGCATTGTGAGTACTCCATTAAAATATAATTTTGACTACACGCCGATATTTGTCAAGCAACTATTAAAATTCACATTCACATTTTCAAAAATAATGTATTTATTATTTTTGTTGTGTATTTAAATTATTTATGTGTTGATATGAAATCCTGGTAATAATAATTTTTGTTTTCTTTTGTTTTCAGGTTGGGTATCTGATATAACCGGTGCATGGGACTTATCTTTTTACTTGGCTGGTTTTTGGATCATTCTATCAGGCGTGTTCATTGGACTCATTCCATATACGAAAAATCGATTATTGTGGGGAAATGGTCAGTTGGAAAACGAAAGGGACAGCGTTAGATCATGAAAAAAACAAAAATCTTAAAACTATAATATAAAAATAGGAGACTTTAGAAAATAACATGTCTCATAGTATAAATTTGGGTGTATCGCGATTATATTATTTCATTATATATTATATAATTATATATTTCATTATATTATTATATTAACATGTCTTATAGTAAGAGTTTGGGTGTATCGCGATTATATTATAAACAAAATCTTGTAAATGAGTTATTTGATTATAATTATTAGAATTATTAACGATTGCTCTTCTTTTCGTTTCAAAAAAAAAAAAAAAAAAACGAATATCGTTATCAATACGAATGAAGCGCATTTGAGAATTCAATTCATTGAATCAGTGAGGACTGTTGAAAAACGCATAATTTCAAATTCGTATACTGTATTTAAACATTTTGACCAATAATATTTTATCGACTATCGAAAATAATTCATTAATATACTAGTTAGATTCTATTTGCCTATGTTTAGTAATTTTTTTTCGACGAAGAAATCGTCGAAAACTTTCTTATCTTTATCAATTTTATGTCTATAAATAATTGAATATTTAATAATTAAAAGTATAATATAGATGAAATATTTAAATTCGTTTAACATTCTTATATCTAACTCGAGCGTATAACATTTTAATTAAATTTTTAAATTTTGGACGCAGATGTGAAAACTAAAGCTCTGTAAATTGTATAGGAACGCATTATATCCTTGCGTGAACATTTGGCAGTATTTAATAGAACGACGGCTAAAATAAATATCATGTGATCCTTAATGAATATTAATATTTTTTTTTTTTTTCTAAGTCTTCCCAATGACATACATTATTATATTATCTATCTTGTTAAATTATAGAATTTATATTTTTACTGAAATATTTTACCTAAACCATTCTATTGTTGTGAATTTCGAGTTGTGTTATATTTATTGTTTACCTATTATATACATAATATATTTAATGTTAATACATACATATTATTATTATACTTCCGTTAATAAATTATACTCTTTCTTCGAACTAAAAATCATCGTCCGTTGTCCAGGTAAATAGTATGAAAACCAACTATAAGTAAAAAAAAAAAAAAAAAAAAAAACAAATCGGTGTTTAGTTTCATATAAATGATATAGCAATAATTGCCATTTACTCGGTTCGATCGATTCGATTCATTGACAAAACACACAAGTATAATAATTATATAAAATTTTAAAATATAATATTAGAACGTAAGACAATCAAATTCAACTAATATTGTATTATTACCCACCCGTATCATTCCATTGAATATTATGTTAGTCGAATAAAACAAAAATTCGAAATATAATATAGGTACGATGAGTATTATAGGATAGGTCGGCCGACGATTGACGGCGATTTATGGAGCAATATTTTTTAGAATTATTTAAGAAGTGCCTGTAATTTGTTCGGACGTATGAAACACGACAACCGTACCTATTGTAATATTATTATTATTTGTATATCGTTTAGAATAACATTATATTATTTATATTTTGTCTTTTAAAAATCATTAAAATTATTATTATTATTATTATTATTATTATTATTATTATTTGGCTCAAGTATATTATTGTGTAATTTACTACGATCTTCCAATATTTGTTTTTTTGTTTTTTTTATGATAATTATGTATACGTCGATTTTCATCGTTGAACAATAAAAAAAAAAACGTAAACATAATATTATTATTGTATTGTAATCACGTACATTGTAGTTGTTATTTAGATATAAATATTTATTATTATATTTAGTAATAGGCAATATTATATTGTAATTTTTAAAATATTATTTGATAATGTTCCGTAATGGAAAATATTATCACTTATATTACAGTTGTTAAATGCAAAATGTTATTTAAACTATTAAAATATTTAATCATACATAAAAAAAAGTTATAAAAATACTTAAAATAATATTGTATTTGCGTTTTATTTCCTCATATATTATTATTATATTATATAGTGTTAACAAAACCTAAACACCGTCGTACAGCCTTGAAATATTTATTATTTTTACAATATTATTGTATCGTTATTATAAGGCTATGGTTGTGATATGGACAAAATATTCAAGCTACCGTACTTACTGAATAAGTCATATCTGATGTTGTCTTTTTGAATATTAATCTTTCTATATATTTTTCAACAAAATAATCTGTAAAGAAATACAACTTATATAATATAGGTACATACAATCAATATTGTTAAATACCGATTAAATGGATAAACCAAAATGTTATTGGCTATAGAATTTAAAAAATAATATAGAAATATGTAAAAAAAAAAAAAAAAAAAAAAAAAAAAACAATATATTGTATGAAAATGCCTAATACCGATACACATACTATTTTAATTTATTATCCAATAATTGTATCAGTAAACACTAAACATGTTTTACTATATAGTTAAACGTAAATAACAAAATGATTGGTGTAACACTCGTATAACAGAATTTCCTAAGTACTACAAAGATTATTTGATAATTAAAATTATTTACTATAAAATAGGAATAGAAAGGAAAGAAATCTCCGAACACCGGAAAAGGAGGTTGAAGAAGTTGAATTCGGTACATCTATCTCATGTCTATTTATGATAGTACGTTTTTATAAACAGAAATATTTGGAATAATACCTAATAATAGTTTTAATCAAGTTACGATTTTTCAAACATTTTATAGTATACATATAAATATTTTCGGTAGTACATGTTTTTAATATCCTCATTTAATATAATCTAAGATATTTTTACCGAATGATAACGCTATATTTTTATATTTAATTAATTTTATTTATATTTATTTTACTGAGAAGAGACATTTTAATTAAACTCATAGGTCACTATCAATAAAACGTAGTTGAAATAATATCTTGTCTTCAAACATGGTTTAAAAGTGTTATTATTTTTACTTATCGATTCCTTATGTTTTAAACAAAAATAATGACTAGAGCAAAAAACGTTTTAGTTTAGTGACAAGAAAAAATGAAAACTCAAATTCTGAACCACCAAATAAATATTTTTAATACATTAATAGGATTTAGAAACTTATTTATTATGAATGTTAATATATTATTATTGTTCGATCAATATTTTTTCATCATCAAGAGACTTTTAATGTAAAACTTTCACTGTTAAAATAGATAATCAAACTGAATTTTATGAGTCTAAAAGTGCATTTGAAAGTCTACAAAACTATTATTCAATTGTTTCTAGTAAGTAGGCAATAAGTAGGTATAATATTAGATTCTGAGGGGAAACGAGGAATGTATTGGTTTTACAAAGATGTATATATTTTTTTTTTTTATGTGAACAATTTTTCTACCAAAAAGCATATTCCGATTATCAAGCATAGCACCTTTTATGAAAGGATATGTTCTCTGGGTGGTACATTAGAAGGGTCATTTTTTGAAATTCTTATTAATATTCGAGATAATGAGGAAAACCTCGGTCTTTAGGTAAAAAAAGATTGAAAGATTAAAAAGAAGGTTGTCATTAGCAACCGTTTCTATTTATTGTTTGTTATTATTAAATTTTGAATATTTTTATATTTTTTAAACAATCATTGTAATAGAAACGATAGGTAATGATTTTACCATAATATGACATATACCATATATTGTATTGTTGACAAAGCAATACTGTCAACTGAATTCCGCTCAGAATCGTTTTTTCGTAAGCAATAATTTATCGTTACTTACAAGTAACATTGTACAAGTATACATTGAATTTCCGTCTGTATCCTACCTTCCCAACTTCCTCCTACAACAGTGACTGCACCCACGTGCGAAATATGTCTGTCATTTTTTTTAATTATGTATTTAAAATTATCATTAAAATATTATTATAAAAAAATAATAAATTTGTTCTGAAATGATTCTGCTATTTTATGTACTTATAGTAATTATTGTATTTATATTATAAAAGACTCAACTAAATCAGTTAGATTAAAAAAAATATATTTTTCAAGTGATTTGCCATTAGTTTCATATTATAACTATTAGGAATTCTTAAAAAAAAAAATGTCAAGAATTTTAAACATTAAGATGTAGTATCTGAATGTCAAAGATTGTAAGAGAATAATTTTGAAGGCATTGAATATTATAATATTGATTGTAATAGTATTATGTTCAAAATGAATATCGATGAAGCAGTTGATTGAATTCAAGTGAGAAAATCCTTAACCTCTAACGAGAAGAATATAAGTACAGTAAAACTTCTGTTAACAGTAACCTCTAAATAGCGATCATTATTTCCGGTCCCTTCAGTGACCGTTATATGGAAGTTTTACTGTAACAATATTGTATTGCAGTTTACATTGTTTTCTGTTTGCCATATGCGTAAATAAATAACAATTTTTTAAATAGTGCTAGAAGAGCCTGAAGTGTTACAAACAATATTTCAAGAAAATAATTTTGAAGTGTCTGATAAGTACAATAAGGTTTATGAACTAACTACAGCCGATGAATGCAGAATAAAAAAAATAATAAGAAATCATAATATATATTAAAATATTACTTTAATGGTCTGATAATTAATTTTTCTAAATCTATACTACGTTGCATAATATTATAAATTATAATAAATTGAGTTTGATAAATAATTAGGTAAGGTCTTTTGTTGTTTTAAAATACACACTCTCAGTTATTTATTATTTATTTCAGAAACATATATTTTTAAATTTTGAGCGGAGTGAAGAAGCGTCTGGTTTTACAAAAATGTTTATTTTTTTTATCTGTTAACAACTTTTCTACCAGAAGACTTGCTAGGGAGTCGATTTTCTCAAGAGTTTTCTCATCAAATGCGAAAAACTGAAAAAAAAACAGGATAATTTACGAAACATAATAAATATGAATTACAATATTTTTTTCTTGTGGACAACTTTTTTACCGGCAATTTTCCTCCAACTTTTAATGATAGCGTTTCTAAAAAAAGCAGAATAACTATAAAATAAATATTTTACTGAAAATTATATAAATAGCACTAAAATCAAGAAAATCTTTGACAATTTTACCGTATCTAAAATACCAAAACAACGAAATCATTGTAAACTTTCTCGTATTTTCCAAGTTTTTTCCTGTTTTTCCGAATTATTATGACAATTGCTTGGAAAATCAAAAGAATTAAATTTACACACAAATGTAGATTCTAAATTCTACAAAATGGATCAATCGTTGTATTTTTATTGAAGCACGGGACCTGATTAATGAGTTTGCCACTAGTTGGCTGGAACCTTTTTTTTTCTCAACACCAAATCTTTTTTACCTGCCTTTCTTATAAATCAGTGCCTCCAGCTTGGTCAATCCATCTAAAAAAATCTTCGTGGCGTGGCTACTGTAATATTTAGTTGAGATAAAAAATTGTTGTGTGACGCGTCCCGTTTAACATTGCCCGATTGGCGCTCTAAGCCTATTCAGCCTATATTGATTAGTGAGACGCCGTTGATACAAGATTTTTAATAAAAAATTTGTTAAATGGTAGAAAAAAAAAATCTTATTAATCACAGTAAAACCTCCATCACAAAAAAAAATATTATTCTAGCTCCCTTCCTCAAAAATTATTTGACTACGAAATTAGAGAAAGACTTATATGTTTTTATGTATAACAATTAATGGGTATACGGGTATAATACAAGCGATGATCTTTTTTTTTTTTGAATTTATCACTAAAATAGCCCCCCCCCCTCTAAAATTCAATCAATACAATTCGTAAATGAAATTAGTATTATTTAATCCTATTGAGCACTTTCAAATAATATATACGTTTTCTTTTAAACGATTATCCATTTTGAAATGTACGTAAGTACTGCAGATGAAAACATTTTTACATAAGAGTTTCCGAGAAATTATACTGTAATAACGGCTCACTTAACTGGAAAACAATAACCTCTCAGGGGGTTTGCCTTTGTGTGGGTCTAGATAAAAATCAATACTATGAAAATCGTTTTCACATATTTTTATTACTCATGAAGTTACTTTATGAGAGAATAACTAAATTCAATATATTTTTCATTTTCTTAAAATATTCTTAATAGCAAATAATATTTAGACATTACACGAGTAAATATAATATTAAAATAAACGTAAAAAGTGATTATTTCACAATTTTTGAGTTTTCGGAATCATAGTACCTTATAAAAAACTCTGAGGTTAATGTTCGACTATAATATTTCATGTTTCAAACCCTAGATCGCGCGCTTCGTTATAAAAATAAATAAACATGTATATAAAAAACAACATTCTCCCAGCAGACTTTTATTTAAATACATTTTTGTTTAGTTTGTCAATCCTGCGAATTAGATCATAACAAACCACGATTTATCTATGCGTCTATGTCGTTTGTCATAGTCTATATGACATTATAAAGTTCTTTATTAAGTAGACAGTACCTAATTCCGGCGTCTTTCATTATTTAACTATAACGTGCCTCATTCTAGGTCTTTCTCTTGATCGAGTGCTTTCATCCATTCTAGACTTTATTTAGTTAAAATGCTAACCCATCAAGTATAAATACTTGTCAACAAGTAACCAATAAATCAAACCACTAAATCTGATATCGCTTATCACCTTGGGTTCGACGTTTATTGTAATATTTGATAATATTAAGTATGTTTTTAAAGTTTTAGTGATGTAATAATTTATTATAAAAAGATATCAGGTAATATTTGTACGGTTATTTATTATATTATTATTATGCTGAGATATATAATGATGATTTCGTGAAAAACAGGTATCTAGGTATTAAACAATAAGATTCATGAGAATTAATATCAATGTTGATTTAAGAATTTATGTTTTGAATTCACTATCTTATTTCTTATAAAGGGGGAGAATAAAGGCCTACTTAAGGAATAACAGCTCATTTTCTTTATGGCACACCCTACGGAAATATCCTGCGCACGCGTGCTATCACGCGTATTCTCTACCGTCTAACGAAATACCTAATTTAATTAAATATTTATACATCCCATTTTAAAACGTATAGAGTACCATAATTTTTGCGCAAAAAGTATTAGCATGTATGACGGTATTAATATATTATACTTAAGCACTACGGTATTGCGAATATAATACGAGTATAATTAATGTGATCAATTTTTTTTAAAACTAAATGAAATATTCAAAAGATTTAATAAGTACATATAGTTCAAAAAAAATATCAAAGAGTATATCGCTTTTCCGGGAGCGTATAAAACATATTATGTTAAAAGAAAAATAAGTTGTCTCGCGTGACAAAGAATACAACAATAGGGATTAAAGCAAATGCTTACCTGCGTTCTAATGACTTATGTCCTATAGATTTACAAGTATATATGCAATCATACAGAGTGATTTCGTTCATCATAAAAGATTCATCACTCAGCATCCGTATACACACCGATTTTGAGTAAATTTTCTTTTGGTATTTTTCAAACGTTTAGATGTATTACTCATCCTAAACGATGATAGTGAACATGAAATGTTTAACGTGGGAGTTTGTTGATTAAAGTATTTTATGGTTTATATACACATAAAAATACATTTTTAAATTAAGATCGGAATAAAATGAAAACTGACAAATTTACGATGACAATTTCATTATTTTAAATGTCTACGTTTTATATTTTCTATCAGAAATACTCCTCCCACGACAAGAGATTTTTTTTTGTTACAGGTGAGTAAAAAAGTATTTTTTTGATTTTCCCCTACAGTTTTTTTAATTATTGTGCAAAACCGAAAAAAAAACTGACAAATTAACAAAAATAATGTTTATGTTATTTCCAATTTTGTTTTTTGTAGTGATTCAGTTAAAAATATTAGGTTTTGCATTCCTAACTTCTCATCTACAACAGTAGCACACCCGTTCCCAGTATCAGCTCTTTGTTTTTTTTTTTTTTTTTGGTTTAATGTGAACAAAAAAAACTAAAACACTATACGACGACGTAACGAAAAACTTAACACAGAGTTGTAAAAACAAACGGTCCTACACTATTGTATTGGCACGTCAATATTTAGTAGTTTAGGCTTTTAGGAAGATAGATCTCGGGTAAAAATAAAAACCGAAATCACAACCGCATGACGCCTACGGGATTCGGATTTTTACGACAACCCTACTATTATCTACATTTATCACACACGACAAAACGTTTCGACAATCAATTCACTCTTGTGCTTATACAATACAATGCAATACAATACAATATACGATATAACTTTGACGACGCTGTTGCACCCGGACGACTTTAAAACGCACATTCAACGTACGCACGGAGTCGCACTATCGATTTTTTTTTTTCATATTAAAACGTAACTTCCCCCTATACGTGCAAACAACAATACTAATAATGTACGAGTTTCTACCATATTATTGCTTTGTTTTCGCGGGTAACCGTTAGAAAAAAAAAAAAACAAAAAAATATTTCCCTGACAACTGGGAAAAAACTGAATAAGCATTCGAAAAACGAGTAATATTAGACATGCCGGGAAAAGTGAAAATCAATTTTGGTTTCTCTTTTGCCGTTCAGCTATCGTACGGAATTCGGAAATTGTTGCCGAATATTTTGACATTTTCTATAATATAAACCTCGTATAATATTATTTCCAAATAATTTTGGCTCTTTTTAGTCGAAATGTATAGCTATTTGAAATATTGCTCGAATTTCATATGGATAAATTATTATTTTTGGCCCGGTATAAACACTAAAGATTGATGCAAGGAGTATCGTTGCCGTAATATTTCGAAAAAAAAAAACAAACTAAGTTGTAGTTTAAAATTGATTAAATTTAGTAAACCGAGCTCCGGCACATGCAATCGTTTGTAATGTAACCGAATTTGTCCACATAATATTATTATCCAATACGTTTTTAATTTGTTCTCGTCATCTTACCTACAACACGTGATTGATGTGGAGAACTTGTCTATGATAAAATCATTAGTCCCTTTTAGTTTAAGTATTCGAAGATTAGAATACGTGATCAGACACTGTTTTACTTTATTTTTACTAAACAGGCATATGCGTATGATAATATTTAAAGGGGGGCGCAGTTTATTTTTAAGGCTTATTGCTACACAATTTTTACGAACACATGTGTATGAGAGAAAAACATTTTGAATGTTCGGTTAGTTTGGCTGGTTTCCGGAAACACGCCTCAGTTTTCGGCAAATATACTAATCTCTCATCGAAGTTGTTCCCGTTTTAAACACTGCCCTACCGATAGAGTAACAATATCAGTTGTTTTTTTTTTTTTTTTTTTCTACAAACACCAAAAACTCGTTTTCCCGTCCATATTGATTCCGTCACCCTATATAATATGCACGGTGCATACTCACAGTCGACGACCCGCCTTTGTTTATTAAATATACGGAGGACGTTCCATAATATATACACACGCACAAGGGTAGGGCTTCTCTTGTCAATACATTCGATATTTTGTATGCTATGTGCATACGGGTAACAGTAAGTCGTGTGAATATAATACGGTAACCCGGTACCTGTCTTATCGACCGTCGTCGGCCGAACGACCCGGAGTTACAATATTATAGTTTCTTTTGTACGTATTCCACCGCCGCGCCGCCGCCGTTCCCGTACGCCCGGGTTCGAATTATTATTATTATTATTAGTTTTTTTTTTTCTATAATTGGATTTCTGTACTTCGTCCAATAATAATAGTAATAATAATAATAATAATAATATTAAAAACGATACGATTATTGCTATTCGCCGCTTCTGTGCGCATTTAAGTATTAGAGGTACCCACCTATACGAGCACCCGGCGCCTATAGTAATGCAAGGCTGTGGCGGCGGCAGTCAATCCGTATCGATACCGTAGTGCGCGACGTTCGGAAAACGAATCACTTACGTAGTCCGTCGCGTTATTGAATAACTATTATCCTGTGTCGTAGCGTACCAAGTCATTATTTTCGACCGTTTCGTCATCATCATTCGTAAACCGGCCAGAACCGAATATTGTATTGTAATCGTTGCAATCGCGGACCGCGTTTATTTATTACCGGCAACAAGTACGTATAACAGTAGATTCTTAGCGTAACGACGAATTGTTTTTGGTTTTACTATTGTTTTTTCGGCGGTGTAATTTTTGTTTTTTTTCTCCCCCCTCTCCCCCCCCCAGGTTCTGAACGGAGTGAGGGGTAGGTTATCTTGGGTTTACTACGATGTGTACGATGTACTTTTGTGTTTTCTCTTTGTGCGTCGTCTGTAAACAACTTTTCTGCCAGAAGCATTATTACACCGATCAAAACACAAGACCAAAGAACTTTTTTGTAGAATTCCGAATCTTGTTGTTATATTGAGGTGACATTTTTTGATTTTTCCTATTTTTTTCACAATTATAAAGAAAATATAAGAAAGACAAACAAAATTTACTACAAAAAGTTTCATTTTTTTTTCCCCGATTCAATTTTCTACCAAAACTCTTGCTCCGAATTTGAACATCTTTTCTGGAATACGATTTTATGCTAAACATAAAAAAAACTTGAAAGTTTGTCGTATTTGTCGGTTTTATTATTTTCGATTTCTTTTTTTTTTTCTAATTCGGTTAAAAATAAATGTATAAAATTGCACAGACTAACTACATTAGTCATTTCTAAATGTGGTAACATTTTTAAAACAACCTTTCTGCGATTTGTGATTTATAAATAAGTATTTGAAATTTTCAATTTTTTTTTAGTTTTTATTTGTTCATTTGTTCTGACCCAGTAGAAATACTTGACAGTTTTACACGAGATTCATTAAAAGTTATATTTAGTGGTCAAAAAAAAATTAAGCGTAATTTAGTACTTAGTGTTTTTTGTAAATAAATTTGAATTTTGAAAAAAAAATCTTAAAAATCAAGACATTCCAAAACTGGTTTAAAGAAGAATTGCTCAAATTTTCATTTTTTCATCTACGATTTATCGTTGCGTAAAAGTATAAATTATATAACTCTATGTAACTTCTCAGTTTTTCAGTTTCCATCTAAAATTGTAGCACAAAATAGTTGACAGTATTTTTATTATTATTATTATTTTTTTTTTTAATAACTTAACATAAACTAGTTTAAAAAATTAGTAAACACATCTAGTTTTCCGAAAATCTGATGCTAATATTGTAGGGAAATGTAAATCCGTTAATTTATATAGTAAATTTGCTGTATAGTTTTGTTTTTAAAATTCGTAATAAGAGTGGATCCACTAAAGAAGTATATAAATCGATTCGTTTTGCGAATAAATCTCGCAGTGAATATTACTGACTTACTGGTATTTACAAAATATATATTTAGATACCGAACAAAGCGTGTTAGATTTCGATTGAAAAATAATCCGTACAAAAAATGAATGGTCTGCGTGCACTTAAACATACTATTAATATTTCGAACTCTGGATATACGATAAAAAAAAATCGCGTGGAATTATTAAAATATTTTGCCCCCCTCCCCACTATAAATCTCTAAATTCGTAACTCGTATTATGCACATTACGGTGAATATTTTCGAAATAAATGAAATCGCGCGAATATTTTCAGAGTATAAAGTAGGTGGGTATAAACTGTTCGAACAAAACAAATGCAATAAAACTAAATATTCGAAACAAATCGAAATTTTCGCTCCTTTTCTTGTTTATACCAAAATTCGAATATCGTATCATATTGCCATAGTTAAACCAGGTCATTAATTATTTACTTTTTTATGAAAAAAAAAAAAAAAATCGATTTTGGTAAAAATTGTCTGTTTGCAATTATAATTTTATAAGTAACTACACGAAATAAACTATAACCTGAACAGGCTCAATTAGAAAACTTGTTAGGTATTTTAAAATTTAAATCGAAATGATATATACCTTAATCATTATGATTATATCATATTATGATAAAACATAGTCTACTTAGAGTATAGTTATTATCTTGGTTTAGAATTTTGATGCAATCTGATAAATCCAACACAATAAAATGTACAAACGCCATCGGCAAATGAGCGCCTGAAAAAAAGTAATGATGCAGCTGTCAAATCCAAAAAAAAAGACCTGATACTGCTGATATAGGTGCGCCACTGTTGTAGATGGATAGTTGGAAAGGTAGAATACATACAATTATATAATTTATATCTGTAAGCGATGATAAACCGTTACTGACAGAAAACGATTATGTTCTTTTATTCGTGATTTGAAAGGCCGTAATATTTACGATTTTCATCGAAATTCGATCTTAAAACCGTTATAAAAAAAAAATTAATTACATTGCACACTTCTTTTTTTACCACTAAATACAACTTAGGTCCAGTTTTTCGCAAATATTATGAAAACCTATCGAAAATGTTCTTTTCAATGTATCAACTAAATCCAAAATTCAATAAAAAAAAGTTCTCTTGTCGATTAGAGCACATTGTCTGTTCGAAAAATTGCTTACAGACGGAATAAAAATACTCGTCGTAGTAAAACTAACAAACCATTCGCTCAGCTCCGAGTCTAAAAATTATCAAAACTCTTTGTATTACTCCTGAACAATTTCAAAAAGAGGAGTTAAATGGTTTTTGTTCTGAGGTCTTCAATAAGTTATTGATTTTTTCGTAGATTTTTCTAACTATTCGTATAATGACGTTTGTTCTGTAATAAATATGTATCGTTGTTCTTAAGCTATATTTAATATGAATAAAATTATTGACTATCAATATTTTTAAAAATATTTACACATTTTTATTTCGGCTAAAAACGCTTTAACAAAAATATAAAATACAAAACCACAAAAGCTATTTTTTTTTCTGCGTAAACTGCACCACGGTCGTGTCTGAAAACAAATATTTGAATGTGTAGGTATTCAGTTTTTGTACTTAACTAATGGTTAATCTTAATCTTGAACACACATCCATTAAAAATTTACTATAGAATAAGTATAATTAACAATATGTTCGACACATAGATAATTTTCTCTTCGATAATTCAATATAAATATTATAAAATTATGTAATTATTACGAGCAATATAAAATTGTAATATCACTTGAATAATAGGCATTTATTACTTTCTACAATTTATTTTTTCAATTTTTAGAACCCACATAAAATAATAACAATAAAAAATGTTGGATATTTTTGCAATTTACTGTGATATCATCTTTATGATAATAATTGTATTGTTATATATGGTATCTGGTCAAAAAAGTGAAAAAAAACAACGAAAATCAAATTGGCAAAACAAAAACAAAGTAAAACAACAATCATGGGAAGGAAAATACTATTAATAAAGTAAAAAAAAAATAATGTCAAACCGACAAACTGAGCCGCATCATCCTTCTTACAAAAAAACAAAACAAAAACGTGCCCCAATAATGCAATGATATCGTAACATTTGCCAAACTTTTTGTCAATCTATTTTTTTCTCTTCTTCTCTATCCCTCTATACACGAAATCGAAAAAAAAATGTATATAAGTTAGAACGAACAAATTAAATAATATAAATTTTAAAGTTTTTAACAACTTTTTTGCTCCGGTAATAATTTCAATATTTAATTACAAAATTGTATTTTTAATTCATATTAATTTGTTTTTCTTTTATTATAGTTTCTTTTCTACGATTTTTTTTTTTTTTGTGTTCGCCAATTCGGTTTTTGCTAATGGTTTCCTGCTGTTCATACGCGTATACGATACAAACACCTTAATGTAATTTATTCGTTGAACATATCATAACTCAGCAGTTATCTCTTATGATTAATAATATTAGTCGAACAGTATCTATTACAGATGTTAAGTGTCATTTTAAAATGAAACAAAACGATTAGTTTAAATTAACGCCACGTCGTCGTAATATATCATATAACATTCAGTATCCTCTTCTTCGGTACGTTTGTCAAGTACCGTTATTTCGAAATTAAATTACTAATGAGCGAACATTTATTTTAGATTAATGTCAAATATGATTGGGATTAAGAACCTAACGCTAAAATAATAATATCGTTTAAAAAATAATAATAATAATCGTCTTTTATAGATTGAATGAAAATTAATAATTCCATTAACTTACGAAGACGGTGAAAAACAATAATACTTAGGTTCCGTTAATGTTGACATTTAATTTATTTGGATGATTTTTATTTTATTATCCTTTTTTATTTTTTGCGCTTAATACTTATAATGCGAAGACTTTAGATTGTCTTGCCCACAAAGCATTTGATGATTAATGCGGACATATTCCGAACCCGCACCACTATACCCCGTTTTAATCTTACCTCCGGAATTACTGCTGCGGGCATTAAGATTATAACAACTTGAATAACTCAGTGTTATGCGCAAAGCCATTAAAGAGGCCAAAGAGCGAAATAATAGAATAATATTGTTATTTGTTAAACGGTTCGACCTTTTGGTCACAGTTATGGTATTATTATTATTATTATTATGATTGTGCTTAATTCAGCCTATTCGCGAAGTTTATTTATCTTCTTGTCTGCGTTTTGAATTTTTACTTAGTATATACTATCATTATTATTATAATCGTAGTTATTATCACGAAAGTTTAAAAATCACCTATTTAAATAATTATCATAGTTATCAAAAGAGATTTAGAGGCCATTAAGGTGAAACAAACTCCTAGACGTATTACAAATCTTTCTATGCTGAGTTTAGTATACTTCACTAAAATTTTGTCTATTAATTCTTTCTCGTTTCTATCAATACACATCTGATTTGACCTCTTCCCCCGGATAAAAATAATCAACATGTCTTGTGATAATTATTTTAAATGTACAATAAAATATCTATATCTTAATAGAAATTATGATGATCAAGTAATATGCGAAAACAATTATAATAATACATGGTTTCAATGAAAAATTAACGTAATTTTTTTTCAATTTTCAATTTAGTATAATATAAGAGCCCGAATTCCAACGCAGTGCAATTTTTTATCATCAAAAACTATGTTTTATAAGTACATAATTCGTTTTAGATACTCCAAAATTGAAACATTTATTTGGAATTTATTTTCACAAATTATTCTGATTTCCTCTACTACCGGTAATTTTATTAGTTTTAAGTCCATATTTTGAACATTATACGAATTAATGGATTAAATGCAGGTACCACATTCAAATTATTATTTCAAGAAATTTTGTATTCATAAAATTTGCTTTGACAGTGTTTAGGAACTAAGGTATACTTTATCAATACAGATTGTCAATCGTTCTATTTATGATGTTTATGGCATCTTTATATCTTATATTTATTAATGGCCGTTGAACATAGTATGTCACTCAGACTCAAACAAACCACAACTAAGAAATTTAAACTTAAACTTTACATACTTCACCTTTTTCGAATTATTTATCATATTTATCATATTAGGGAATTTAAATCTGGGCCCTAATAATAATTGAATTCGTTCAAATACAGAATTACGTTCATTTGGTATAATGTATGCCATCAGGATGGAAATTTATACGAGTATATAGGTATCTAGGTAGGTATAAACACCGGAAGATATTTAATTATGAAACGATAATCGATGAATGTATTGAACGCTCGAGTGCGTCGTTTATTAAATATTGAAAAGTTACACGACTACGTATATGCTTTTTTTTTTTTTGTAGAACAGTTGAGAGTGAAATTTACTGCTCTAAAAGTCTAAATAATATATATATATATATATATATAAGGTACCTACTTGTATGTGACCGGGCGGGGGAAGAAAGAAAAAAATGAAACGAAAAGGTTGCTACATGATATGTAATCGTATAACGTTTTAAAACTTACTTGATACAAAATACAAATACAAGGCGGGGCAGTGAAACGAGTGATTTTAAAACAACCATAAAATACCAACAAGTTATTTTTTAACAAATTTATTTATACCATTTTAAGTGTGTAAAATAGCAACGAAAAGTTGTTAAATTTTTATTAATGATATCCGAAATATAATGTCTACCTTAAAGCAATAATGATCTCTGAAAAGTGAAAACTAAACGTGACATTTCGCAGCGTTTTCTGAGGGATTTTCGTATGCATTGTTTGAGATCGTTAAATGTTCTCGCCATTTTTTAGTATACCTACTCTACTCCTAAGATACCTCCTCAGAAAAATAATCACCATCCGTTAAATCCATTAAATCAGCCTATGGAATATCCCCATTTAGAAAAATTTAATCCGTACGGAGACAAATTTTTCCGAATTTTAGGTTAGTGATTTTTTTCTGTAGTAGCATCCTATAACTGGAAAGTATACCAAAGAATACCGAAGACACTTGACGATCTCAAACAAGGCATCCGAGAAGAGGTGAATTATATCTTTCGGTAATTACTGCGAAAGGTCATATTCAGTTTTTAGAGACGCCTTTGATATGGACGCCTTCTTGCGAATGTCACGTATAAGAATGTCTTTTTTTTTTTTTTAAAAAAAAAAGCTAATTTACATAATTCAAGGTGGTATAAATGAATTTGTCGAGAAATTACTTGTTGGTCTTTTGTGGATATTTTTTGATGACCCGTCCCACTACTCCATCTCGCATATATTGCCGTGTAGGTAACTACTGCCAGGCCCGACGAGAGAAGGACGGCGATTGAGGGTGAATCACTCCAGGCCCGGGATTTTCGTGGAGCTCGGTGTGTGAACTGAAAAAGCAAAGAAAAATAAGTGTTTACGGAATTCGACAAATCCCGGCCCCCATTAGTATCCCGTAAAACCCTAGTGAAAAACAATTGCATTAATAAATTACCGTGGCTTGTTGTCTTACACCGCGTACATAGCACGACGGGAGTTTCAAATAAATAATAGTGTAAAGTAGATACCCATGGGCTATGTTTATAACACGTGCGACACAATCGTGTCCGTAGGTTTCGTAGCATCGCGTAATGTGTTTAAAATAATAATTCCAATAGTTATCTTTAGGTCGTAGACTCGTAGATCGGGTAAATAAGACGAAAAACGTCGCAGGACGGTGCTGTACGTTGGACGTGTTTTATGTTTTGTATGTTTTTTTTTTTTTATTTTTTCGTGACTCGTAGGTAAACAAAAATACGGTTTTACGTAATGATGTGTATTAATTTTTAATTGGAAATATCGAACACTTATGTAAAATATGGGATAGCAGGGTGGGCCTGTATGTAACCTAACCCGCGGACCCAAATTTTCTCTCCGCGGCCTTGGCTACTGCCGCTCAATAAATAAAATACAATACAATATTTTCTGCACCGCGTATACGATGGGATCCGCGTGGAAAATGTCACTGTCACGCGGTTGCGATACCGCGGTTTGACCGGTGCCGTTTCATTGCTCGACATTTCAAATATACGTATATGTGTTATGAATAATATTATGTGTATGCCGGCTTACAGCTGTAGCACGGATATTGAAGACAGCTAAGGAAATTCGATATCGTGGTGTATAATCTATACGTACACACTTTTCACGACGAGGAAAATGAATAGTAAATAAGTCGAGTTTACGTAGCCATAGATTACGTGTACACTGTATATAATATACATATATATATATATATATATATATATAGAGAGAGAGAACTGAAAAAATGAAAAATAAAGTACAACGGAATAGAAAAAAAAAAACCAACCCTCCCGGAGTCTCGTCGTAAATCATTGGCGATAGCGAATTTCGATACGGCGCGAAAAAAAAATACGAAATCGTACAATCTCATTTTTTTTTTTTCTTCTTTATAATATATAGTCGGTATCTTCCGCGAAAATGAATTCGTGTACTTATTGCGACACGGGTGTACGGACGTATAAGTCGCCGTCCTGGCTTAATGACGTCGCATAATACTTTTTCGATACACCGTCAACGTAGTGGGACATTGTAAATTATAATACAGGGTCTTCCAAACGTTACGCCGTGACGGCAATGCTTTTCACTGTGAAATATTTCGTTATTTTCAAATACACATTTCTTCCTCGATCACTTTTTTGTCGAATTTCCCTCGAAAATACCCCGAGACTACTGAACTATAAATGTTCGTGTCTGTTACAATATACACACACACACATATCTTTTTCCCGTTCCGATTTATAAAAGCTCTACCGGATCATATGAGCTCGAACTCGGGAATTGTAGAAATATTTCATATGTAGATTGAATTGACAAAATATTGGTTGAATTTCAATATCAATTTCACTATATTGTTGAGGGAGGAGGTTGTTTGTTTTTTTTTTTTAGCATTATACGCCCTTACAGCCCCTCAAATAAAATAGTATACAAAATTGAACTCGCGATTGTGTAAAATTAGTTAAAAATAGATTCAAATCATTTTTGCAGATATATTCAAAGTTACTGGCAGGTAATAGAATCTCGATGGTCGTTCGTTTCAGACGATCCGAATTAGTAGAAATAAATATTTGGAGACTATTTTATTACAAGCTTAAAAGCTTCTCATAATAGTATCATAGCATTTTAAATCTCCTACTTACCTAATTCGCAAACAGTCATCGAGCCAATATCGAATCATAATGCCGGTAAAATTGCCAAGGTCCTCTTGGATAACGACTGTTCACCAAAAGAACAAAATCGTATCTAATAAAATATATACGAGTAGACGATTTTAAACACACCTTAGTAAAACGAGTAGTTTCTTTGCTACACGCTCTGAATCTAAAATGCGTGTGATATTTATAAATATTTGAAATCTGAAGGTATATATTTTAATTTTTAAAAGAGCTAATAATTCTGATTAGTGTGGCACTAATTTAGGTGGAAAATTGGAAAAATAAAATATATAAAGTTATTTTTATTTTTTATATGTGAGCAACGATAAACCATTGCTAAAACGATTCTAAGCGAAATTCGTTTATACGTAATTTGAAAGGTCGTAATATTTAACATTTTCATCAAAATTTGATCTTGAAATCATTGTTTTAAAAATTGTAAAACGTCTAAAAAGGCAAATGGTAGTTTTCTATTAATGTGTTATTTACATAATATGCCAAAGTACCACGCACAATATGTTTAACTGAATTACAACGAAAAAAATCAAATTTAAAATAATGAAACCATTATTTCCGTAAACTATCCCGTTTTTTCCGGTTTTACTCAATTATAAAAACTGTTTGGAAAATAAAAAACCGATTTTTTACTCACCAACCGCATTAAAAATCCAATAAAATAGGTCTCTTGTCGTTTTTATATTGGAACAACATTTCTGGCAGCAAAAATAAAACCTACAGATTTATAACAGCGTATATATTCTAAGGCGCTGTTGAAAATAATTTTTCACGTCGTTGAAAAATGATGTGTTAGGTACGGCGGAGTATGATAAATAATTTACTAATATATAAATAAATAATAATATGAATAAAAATTCCATATCTACGACATGGGCCTGTAAACTAGTGATAGGAATAGTAGTAGTTTATTTTGACAAACTAATTCAGTAATTCGTCGTTCATGAAATGGACCTTTTAAATGATTCGCTGAATATCGTACGTCTATATTGATCACTAAACAAACTACACCACGGTACCGTGGCCTATCCCGCTGAATCACGACCCAGGAAAGGTTTTTTATGATAAAACGATTCATTTGATTCATTAATGAACGGCGTTCAATTTGTTCGTGAGTTATTATTGAATCGTTATTTTAGGTGAATCGTTCGTTCGCAAACTATAATACAACTCTATTGTAAATGCATACCACGTGGATTTAAATTAAATCATTCAATAGCCTTTTTTAAATTGTTTTTTTAAGGCTCTTCGGGTCGTTGTTTATCAGTGGGTGTATAAAAGTATTTTTGGATTTCCCGTTGTCGTTTGTGTTTTTTTTATAGTAGTCTTTCTCCGACGTAAATACGAAATGTGATTAAAAATTAAAATAGCCGATTCGTCAATCGCTTTAAAGATTACGTTTATTTATTTATTAACCGTTGACCCAAACGTACAATGGAGTTTAGTCGCAAGTACATATTTATCGCATTAGAATAATATTTGTTAATTTACACATTTTGATTTGATTATTATCTGCCCATGGCCGTAGGTAAATTAAAAGCTTGCGGAAGAGCTAAATAATAAATTGTTATATTGTATTTTAGTTAAACATTAATTAAAAATAAATTATTTGATTATCATAAATTATCCTGTTAACAATTTTAAATTTACATTTTCCCTATGAATGGTTCTTATGCGCATTTTCACATTTGCTCCAAAATGTACGACGGAATCGGGACAAACTTAAATAATACAATAATACACGGTAATAAATGTATGAGGCAAATTGAAATGCAACAGAATAACAGTTTATTATGGTAAAATAAATGTATACTTTATTATTTTTCTATTTTTCAAATTAAACAATTTTTATAATTATACATTAATTTGCTCTTTAATCTATGTTCGCACATCAGTATTTTGTGTCCCGTATTAGAAATTATCTGCTTAAATTCACCTACCTATAATATTAAAATAACAAATACAAAACACTGCGACAAATGAACGCAGTAAGTACATACATCAGTTTTCTGTGTCCCATTTTATAAATTACTAATTTTTTATTTTTTCTTTATGCATAAAGTAGGCAATTATCATTTTTGAATTGCCCAATTACCAATATTTACATATTATATAGTATTTTACAATGATTTTATAGTTTAAATATTTTGTTACTTATTATTTATAATTATTAAGTACATAAGTTAGGTTAGATGCAAATACCAATTAAAACTTTGGACTTAATGTGTCTTATAAAAATTACTTTACATAATTATGTATTTTTATTATCATATGTCATTATACCATATAATATATTGCAACATTTTGGTTTTTTTTAAAAACTGCGTTGTTGACAAAAATTGTTAAATTATACCCGGATTGAAAATAATGAAATTGTCCGTCGTAAATTTGTTCGTATTCATTTTTCGTCTTTTATCTGGTTCTCCCTATTGTCATGAAAACCTTTTGGAAAATCAATAAGTTATCGAATTAAAACTAGATACAAAATTCGTTAAAAAACTACTGTTTGAAAAGTCGTTTACAGACATAAATAAAACACTCGTCATAGTAAAACCAACAGATCTCTCGTTCCGCTCTGAATTTAAAATGAGGACTTTTAATATTATTAAAATAATTTTATTCGCGTAGCCACTACTGTTAATTGTTGTAATAACGCATTAGGTATTAGTGTGTTATTGTAATATTGAACGAACTACTGATAACGTTTGAATATTTATTTTAATAATGTTTTGTTTTTTTTTCATTTGCGTAAAATTTGGAAATTTAACTTTTTTTAATTAAACGGGTTCCTATTTAATTTCCCCTTTTTAATTAAATAGCAACTGAAAATATGATAAATATCAAATTCGTTTTACGAATATAAAATCCCGATTACAAAAAGTTTTCGCGTATCTACAATTTGGAAGACTCTGTATATTATACGTAGTCACGTAGATAAAGCTGTTTGTATACAGAGTGCTTATTAAATCGAGTGCTATTAGCATTATTACGATCGTTTTATTACCCGACCCTATTCCTGCGGTCTAAATTCTCAACTGTTATAATACAACGTTACAATAACCGTCATAACGGCAAATCCAATACAAGTCCTATGCATACCAATAGGTATGTAAAATATTCGTTTTTTCGAATTCGCGTCGGAAAAACGGCTGGGAGGTCGCCGTTTAAAAACGAAAAGTAAATACGCTCATTCTCGGTATACGGAATGCGCAGGTAGGGGTAAACGTTTGAAAAAATCGTTATCAAGCTCAAACGCAGTGTGTCGCGTACGAAGATTGACAGAAAACGAAAAAAAAAAAAAAAAAAAACTGTTGGCTTTACTTTAATATTAAGTTTAAGTTTCCTTCGGGGAAAATCGGCGAAAAAGAATCGCTCTGTATATAATATAATATTTTTGTATTACACTATCCAAATGCAATAATAATTTTTAATATACGGTACGCGTGGTGTGTGTATATATATTGTACATTATAATATATTCGGTATCGCGTATACGGCACTCGGTATTGTGTGTATATGTAAGCGCGCGCACCCGCCGTCCCGCCCGCCCGCCCGCCGAACAGCCGCCCCGTGTCGTGTGTATCTTTATATTACACGGGGCTAGCGACAGCGACGGCGACAGTGGCGGCCGGTGTATATAGGTGTAAAACATCCGGGCGCGGTGCGGCGGTGTTGCCGCGCGGTTCGACGGGTGGTCGCCGCGCGGGAGGTGGCGGCGTCCGTCGGCGGTGCGGCAGGGGAGCGGTGCAGGGGTCAGTGGCGGCTGCGGCGGCGGCGGCGGCGTGGGTGTTTGTGCGCCACTGTATTGGCCGCCGCCGCGGCCGCCGCACACACACTCGTTCGCCGCGCGGGCTCGCAAACGCACACGCCAGAGTACATAATAAAACAGCACGACTGTCGCGCGCGCGTTTTCGTTTTTGATAATAATCGATATCGCGGCGCGTACACCGGGTGTGCTCTATGGCGGCGCGGAGCGGCGAGCGGAGTAGTCGGTCGGCGATGGGCGGGCCGGGAGTTCGCGCCGGTGACGTAATAACATGCGTGTGCGTTTCTGCGTGTGTGTGTGTGCACGCGAGCGCGCCGGCCGCTCGAACTTAATATCGCGTTCGATGCGCGTGCGCGCTCGTGCCGCGCTTGTATGAATGCGTGTGTGCGCGCGGCCCGCGCGTGTGCGTGTGTGTGCGTGCGTGTTTGTGTGCGCGCGCGCGCGCGCGCCCGTGCACTATAATTCACGCATGCGTTTTTCGCAGGCCCGACGGACGAATCATCGGCGGCGCTGGTCTGCGGTAGCGGCGGCGTCTGCGACTACTGCGGGCATAAGGCGACCGTGTATATACGTATATACCGCGGCGGCGGCGTACGCGGGCGCCGGCGGCGGCGGGCGGCGGCGGCGGCGGCGGCGAAGTCATGGACCCCAGTGTGCTTTCAGCGATGGACCGGGACGCGCTCAAGAAACAGATCGAAAACATGCGCTACCAGTCCACAATGGACCGATGGCCGTTGTCCAGGAGCATACAGGCGTGAGTACTTTTATCCAAAATAATTACCTATCTGTTAGCAATAACGGTACGATTTCGATACGCGCCGTAAATTTCGTGTTTTTCGGGGGAGTGCGGGAGGCGTTTTCGTTTTTCGATTTTTGGGGAAAAAAAAAAAAAAAAAAATAGAAAATTTATAATAAAAACGGCGGAAAGCCGGCGTCGGCGGCGCTATGCCACAAAGCCGGAAACCGTCACGACCCCCCCCCCCTGTTCCCCCGTCGCACGCCGCCGCGTGCCGTCACCGCGTACGTAATCTTCCGTAACCAACATCCCTGTAGTACTTACGTTATAATTATTGTCGTCTGTTTAACAACATAATATTGTTATTATCCACTGTGTCGCGGTAATGATAATATTGTTATGACATTATTGTCCTGCGACGTGGCCGCCGCCTCCGCCGCCGCCGCCTCCGCCGCCGCCGCGAGTTCGGAGCACCGCCGCTGTTGCCGCCGTGACGCCGCCGCCGCCGCCGCCGCCGTCGTCGTCGTCACCGCAACGGCGTACAATAATAAAACGGCGGCGCGGCGTACTTTTCGCGCCCCGTCGCCGTCGCGTACCGCGCGCGGCGGCGCGACGGCCGCGATTTCGATGGACGCGCGCCGTTTTCCCCGGGCGCCAATACAAACGCGTTGTGCGCACGCGACGCGTAACATTTATAATATTTATAAACGCGCTCCGCAGGACGGAGACCCTACCGGCGCTCGGGCCGATTTATTTTCCGGGTCGATGTGTGACGGCAATAATTTCCGCGGATTCATCGGTTCGTCACAGTCATATGGCACACGTTAGAGTATAGAAAAATGGGTGTATCGTATTGTTTTTGAGAAAACTGAAATATCGGATTTTTTTTTTTGTTCGTCAGCAATCTAATTCCGACAGTGTTTTTACTCGCGAATTTTCGTAAATCGCAGGGCACTTACCCCCCACCCCGTCCTCTCCCCAACACAAAAAAACTCGTAAGGACTTCGTCACTAGAATCGAATTTCTCCCACTTATCTTGTAGTACTATAGAACTTTAAAAACCATTAAATTAATACATTTTCAATAAATAACCGAATACGTTAATACATTACGATACCGACATTAACTGTCATACATTAGCCGTTATGTATTCAAAAAAAATGATCAAAAATAAAACGGCATCGTCAAAATGGTAACGATGGGAGTTGAATGTTGAAATTTCCAAAAGACACATACTTGATACTTATGTCAAAACACAAAGTTTCATTTTCCTAGCCCAATTTATTGTTCTTTAGGGGTGTACGCAGCTAAAAATCACCCACATCTCGCGAGTTATACACGGTTATATTCATATTAAAATATTCAACCCATTGCCCACCACTTATTACTTCAATCCGCTTATAAAACATTTCTGAATCCCGAGTTTAAGCTCATTTTATCCAGAAGGAGCCTTTAGAAATGTCCTAAAGTAGCGGGAAAAAGATGTAAATATATGATAATATATGACAATTCAGTGCAATGTGCTCTATTTTCGGGAAAAGTTTGACAATAATTCTTTTGATATTTTAAAAATAAATACGTTAGGTTAGCCGTAAAGTTTACAGATTACTTGTTCATAGTCATATTTTTCTGTATATTTTATAAGGTTGGTAATAAAAGTTAGAGATAACATCACTAATTACTAATGGTTAATAGCTGCAGGTAAGTAGGTAGATATGGTTAAACCGTGAGATTAAAATATTTAGACCGAGGGGTGATGGTTAACGGCTTATGTTCCTACGGTTTTGTTCGGTAAAAAAAGTTACCCCTTCCCCGAAATTTGCATAGATTTCTATCACGGTCATAAATATTGTACATGTGTACACCACCATAAATATAGGGTGTAATAATTATATTTCACAAATGTAATAAATTGTTACTATATTGAATATTTTTAAGTTAAATTTTAAAGTTCTAGAATTCGAAGTAAAAATGAAAAAATGTATTTAAAATTAAAAAAAAAAAAAATCGAGATAGCCTTTTAATAACATATTTAAAAATGTTTATAATAAAATATATGTATAACATATTTATATTCAGAAACATTTTGATGACGAAAACTTTTACAGAAGTTGTGTTAATTATTTTTAAACAATTATCAAAGTTTTGTAAAATATGACGTTTTTTGCGAGCTTGATTTTTCAATAAAGTATTAGACAATTTGATAATATTCTTATTATAATAATTTCTGATAAACGCTTATCATTTACCGTGTTACTGGAAATGGGTGCAGCCACTGTTGTAGGTAGGAAGTTGGAAAAGTAGGATACATGAAGTTAGTTACTTTATCTCTGTACGCAAATATAAACCATTGCTAACGAAAAACGATTCGAAGCGAATTGAAGACATATTTTAAAATTTTAACGATTTTCGTCAAGACTTAATATTAAAACGCTTATGAAAAAGAACCTAACGCCATAAACTCAAATTTGATTTTAGACCACTAAGTACAACTTATAATGTACCTCGTGTATAGTTTTCAAGCATTTTTCTTTAGTCATAATAACAGATATACTTACAAAATAAAAATAAAAATGAAAATATCAAATACCGATAAATAGTCTAAAAATAGTTAGATTGTTTTAAACATTTTACTACGTCTACAAAAGGTCAATATAAGAATTTTTTGAAACTCTTTAAAAATTCAAAAAGATTACTTCTAAATACACCAACCAGAGAAAATTAACTTGCAGAAAAGGTGCTACGCTTAATACTTCGGAACAAGATTTCTTGTAGAAAAGTTGTTCACAGACAGGGGAAAAAAATGCATCGTAGTAAAACCAATAGATCCCTCGCTACGCTCCGAAACTAAAAAGTTATTATACTTGTTAAATAGTCTTGTTACACTTTGTGTATTAATACGTCGGTATCATCTATACACGCATGGTTGTATTGTATTTTTGTTTTAGGTTTGTTTAGGTTTTTTTGTTTTACAATTTTTATCTATCTTAAGCTCTACTTCAATAATATTGTTTTCATATTGACTTTCTGTGAAATTTTCCTAGAAAATAGAGACTATTGCATTGTATTGGGCCTGCTATATATACATTTAATACATGTTTATATCTTTTTCCCGGTACTTTTCAAAAATTACATTCTTTTTTTTATAGCTAAATTTAAGTCATAACATGTTGGCCCCCGCCGTCTGTTTGTATGCTATCAACTATCTCTATAGTTACTTTACTTATTTTGATGAAACTTGATTTGATCGATTTCCTATCATTATCTTGCATACTTAAAAGAAGTGAGGAGTAGTAAACCATCACAGGATCCCAAATAGCACAGGAGGAGGATGTAAACGTGGTTAGTTGGTATCTAATGAGCTATCCCTGTATCTCGTCAAAATGACACGGTAAAAGACATCGCGTGAGCAAACATTTAAAACAATTCTACTTTATATTATTTTTTTTTTTTTTAATTTGATTTGTATTGGTTTTTTTGTTTTAAATATATCGATGCGTTTGAATATTGGCCTTTACATATTTTTTCTTGTCAGGGTATTAGATTTTCAATATAAACGAATAAAAGCACATAGTGCGCCATTGGCAGTGCAAATATCAATTTTGTAGTCGTTATTTATACAATTTATGTAGCCGTCATTATAAACAATTGTATTGTTTGTGTTTGAAAATTGTAGGATATCCATGCATATTAATATGTTTATAATAAAACAAAATAATAATAATGATTAATGGTTTTTAAGTGGCGACATTTTTGTACTCACGATATTTAAACCGCGACATTATGACATGCAAATTACAAATTATAAATAATTTCAAGTTTATTTAATGCAGTAGGAATGTACATATTGCATATACATGCAATATATTATTATTAGGTAACACAGCGAGCAATTTAGTGACTATAACTATTTAAGAACAATTATACCAAGTACAAAAAAAAAAAAAAATGAAATATCGTAACAACAAGAGTCAGGTGGGGATTAGTTCAACTCCAGTGACTGAGTTCTACTTTCACGAGTGTTTTTGTCTGTGTGTCGTTTGTTGTTGACAACTTTTCTACCAGAAATTTTGCTTCATTCAGAAAACGACGAGCGTTTTTTCATAGCAAATTTTGTCTAATTGGTAGAATCGATTTTTTCCAATTATTAGAAAAACTGCAAGTAAAATCAAAAAATTACGAACTAGACTAAATTTTCTACTAAGTACCACTAAAGTACCATGTACTTTGTATGGTATGGTATGGTATGGTAACCATTAAAGTTAATGATCGGACCAAGATTTTTGGTAGAAAATTTACTCACAGACAAAATAAAAAATACATATAGTTAACTAATACATTTCTCGGTTCACTTAATATCTAAAGTTGAGTGTAATGTAATAATTTTTACGTTCAAATTGTGTCAACAATCAGAAAAATCGCGGCATTTTAAAATACGTTAACCGAAAATCGCTCTGAACTGATTTTTTGTAAATAATGATTCATCACTGCGTACAGATCCATACATACATTATTTACTCTATTCATCATACCTTCCCAACTTTCCACCTTACAATTGGGGCACGCGTATCGTCTTTTTTTTAATTATAATATGGTATATTTTACTCGTATTTACTAACGTTATTGTTTTTTTACGTTTTACATTTTAATAAAATTGTACCTATTTTTAGTTAGTAAATATAAATATAAAATAAAGAAAATTATTTCAAAGTTAATATAGATAATGTACGAATGCATAGACATTATGGAAAGTATTTACTTTAGTCTATATTTTTAATCTTAACGTTCGTTGATCAAATATGAACTTATCAGTTATGACTGTATGTAAACTATAGTATTAATTCCGTATTAACTAGATACATTAAATTGGATTAAAATATTTTTGTTCATTTCATTCTTTGAAATTTTAAATTCAATCGACTAACCAAACAATATATTATTTACCACGAGAGTACTTGAATTATATCCATCGAATACATACATATCAACTGCAATATTCCTATTAATGTATGCAATTCAATTAAAATACTCTAGCTAATTAATTAATAAACGTATTAATTAAATAATTAGTCACTATATAGTAGTAGGTGCTTAATTATAATGTATACATTCAACAACGAATAATATTATACCGTCAAAACTGAAGGTCACGTGTAAAAGGCATATTAGATCACTTTTATTTTTTAAACGTTTTGTTTATTATAAGAGAATGCGTTTCATGTGTATGACGTTTCAAATTTAAATTTCATACTTTTCAAAATAGATAATAATTAGTAAAAACATCGATAATGTAATAAATAGATGTAGGAGGAAAGAAGGGGAGAGGAAGACCAAAAAAAAAGGTGGTCGCGATGCGATTGAAAATGATAATATGAAAATGGCGAGTGTATGCGAGGACGATGTAGGGGGATTGGGTCAAGTGGAGGTTTAGAACGAGGATGACCGACCACAAATAGTGAAGGCGAAGAAGAAGAGAAGAAGAAGTAACAACATTGATAAAAATAATATCCACCATACGCCACCACCGTTGTATATTACCACAGAACAATACTGAAACGTCACCTTATATTAGGTATACTTTGTATATAAGCTTTATAAGCTCTATGTGTACCAGCCATTTGATATTTTGCTACCTACCCTGATACTGACTGCTTAATTTAGTTTATAAATATTATAACTATTTTTAACTATCAAAGAATTTATAATTTCTTTAATGTTTGTCGTCAAGCGAGTATTATTTTGGTTTAAAATATTTACTTTAATTTTAATAAAAAAATTTCTCTAAAGACGTCAAAGAGAGTAAACAATGAAGGGAGAACACTTGAATATTGAGCAGTGAGTGCCTTCATTGAGGCTTTCTTTAACATTTTGTCATTTTTGTAAAGTCGTATTAACAGAAAATCTAGAAATAATCTAACTAATATTCATTTCAGAGCAACAACTAACCACAAGGGGAAAAAAATTGATTTTATTTTTAAATTGTAGACATAAATTATTTATATTACTTAGATATTAGACATATCTACATTGAGAAATTATCTGGATCCCTTATACTGAATTCCTGAATATGCTAACCTTCAAGAGTTGTTTATAGTGACTGAAAGCCGATAAGGTGCGGGAAGGAATAATTTGTCAATATACCGCGCTCAAACAACTTTTCTAAGTTACTATTATTAAAATAAACAATATTATATATATAAATATATATGACAGTATGACAAGATAAAACACAACTGTTGAGAGTGTGGTTAAAAAAAAACTGTAAGATCATTAATCTATTAATAACATATTTCTTTAGCCATAGTTTTCACCTCTATTCGGGAAACAATTTGTTATTACAATATAAAATAATATAAAGTACTATAAAAAATGATCTGAAAATGTAGCTTCTCCTTTTTTTATAATACCATATTAAACTCGTGCAATAATTGTATCTATTTTCGAATATTTTACAGAAATATTTAAAGTTTTCTCTTTTCATTCTGCACTATATAATAATATGGATTCGGTAAATTCGATAAAATTAGGTGCGAACTTTTTTTTTAATGAAATATCTTGAGAATAAATTATAATAAATGCTGTTCTTAATATAAAACAATAAAAATGGAAAACTGTTAAAACGGCGAATACGCAATATTAGCGAAAGAGATATTAGTTAATCAAAATAATACATATATGGTGGAAATTGGAAAAAACTAGACTATCTAGATAATGTGTATTGAATATATTATAATTGTATCGTTGCAGATTTGGAATATAATTTAATTCGCCACCGTATTATTATTATTATTATAAGCAATAAATTATGAACTACAATAATTGTCAAGTTTATTAGATCATTAAGACAGTATGATTAATTAAAGAAATTGTTTTGCTGTTTGGTGATCATCTTAATTTAATTTTCACATTCACTCGAGTATACGCATGTTATGCCTATCTATCAATGTAATAGCATCAGATTCCAATTAAATTAAGTAGATATTGGACAGCGATACACAATTAAGTAAAAAAAAAAAAACTCTTTATAGTGATCTGACCTTTTCTCGTCGTAAATATTATTTACTATACTATATTGCTGTAACAATAGTGTTTGAAAGACGGTGTATGTTGTACACGAGTATCTCTATATAATATGTCTATTTCGTACACACAATACAGTAGAAATAATGTTAATGCAAACGCGAACTTATGAATAATACGGTACGGCGGAACTTGCATTGTAAGAGTTATTTTAGGACAGACACTTGTATAAAATAATACATAAGTAAAAGAAATTCGATTCCTATAGGTAAAAAAAAAATGTATGCCAAACATAAGAATAGTAAGTAGGTAGTAAACTTATTGTACCTAATAATATTTTTAACGTCACGAATGTATTATAGTATATACACCCGATTACATAATGCCGTTACAATATTGTCTTGTCAACGCAAGTACATTCATTTTAGATTTTATTTTCCTAGCAGTTTTCATAATAATTAGGAAAAACGTTAAAGTTTACGGAAAATTCGTTTTCATTATTTTTGATTTTTATTTTGTATTGCGGTTAAAAATAATCGTTGGGCCCTGAAATTTTCACACACTTCTATTAGGTCTATTTTAGGCATAGTTCAATTAGTTTCATTTGTAAGTTTAAAATTAAAGTTCAAGTTTGAATGGAAATCGTAAAAAACCGAACTTCCCTCAGAATCATTATTTTATCAGCAATGATTTATATTTTTATACATACATTAATTAAATAACTTTATATGCTTTTATACCTTATTAACTTGCACATCGTGCACTTGATGCACATCCATGAGCAGTGTCACCTCTTTTTATTTTATAAGTAGGTATCATCGTGAAATTTGGCGTATATTATTATTATTTACATATTATGAACCACATAGATAATCAATAATTTTTGTATTTAAAGATAAATAATTATAATTTTTAAATGTCTAGGAAAAAAAAATTGTTTTTATAATACCTTTATCATAAAACTAAGTACTAAAATTACATTAGAAATGTATACTATAATTGGTACACTTCTAGATTTCAAAAATATTGTGTAATTTATATGTACTAAACAGGCATATTAACTAGATAACACTGCGCATGAAATGACCCCCGGCCTTAGAATAAACGCTAAAATGCATGGAAGAATTAAAATTATGTGTGTATAAAAAAAGTAATTATGAATAATATATTAGTAGTTATAATATAAATATAAAATATTATTAGTTATTAATATCTATATATTATATATTATATTTATCTATATTTCATTGTTACTTTTTTATCCATGTATAGCTGATATCGTTTTTTTCATGACTGAGGAACATACGCAATGATATCGAAAATTAAATTTTAGCTGACATGATGTATAATTTAACTAACGATTAATCAAGATTTATCTAGACAAATTACTTATTTCTCATTTATCTAAATTTTATATTCTAACCAAGAGATACTTATATATCTATATAAAACACAACACACGATGATCATTATTGAACGAGTCTCGGGATCTACAACGATTATACAATATATTTAAATTTGGAATATTTTAGGTAAACGCATAATCATATTGTATTAAACTTATATAGTATCCACTATATTGTTTAATCTCTTATGTCTATAATGATATCGTCATACTGATACTGCTGCTCACACAAATCTGGTGACGAATCTCATAACAGATTATGTGCAACCGTTTCGATTTCAATCGTGGCTTAACCGTGAAGCGATCCGTTTACTTAAGATGGAAATTTAATAAACGCATAATATTATGAGCAGAGGTTTATCATTATAATTATTTCGTGACTTCAAAAAGACGGATATACATATAAAACCTCTTTTAAAGTTAAATCATACAGCATTCAGCGTCAACAACAATAAATTGACGTAATCAAAAATAATTCTCAATGGAGCCCGGTAAACTGACAAGGTTAGGTGTATAGCATTATAGTCTTGTTTTTTCTATTGAAGGCAATATATAACCAAAAAAAATCAACAAAAATAATATCGATGTATCGTTTGTTTTTAAGAAAAACTGTTCTAGGAATCTAAAAAAATATTTCAAATAAAATACCACGGGAGAAAAAATCTGCTCCTTTTAAGGCTTTTTACAAGCCGAGTATTCCAAAAAAAAAGAAGCGCGTCTTATTAACTAATAATAACTCCTTCGTAACACTCATACATTTATTAACGTCCAAATATTTTATAATATTATGTTACAGGGAAAAATATCATAGTCAATAGTAGATTAGAATAATATAGAATAATCACTATTTCCTCGCTTCTGTCCGTTTGACCATGATTTTTGTTCCCTAATTAACTCAATTCATGTGCCAATTCGTTTAAGAACGAATTACAAAATGATACAACTATCTTTATTTTAATGATCGATCGACTATGGACGGTTTTCCCTGCAGCCTTTCAATTAGTAACCAAGTAAATCATTATGTTGAGCCCTCAATGTACGTACATGTGCCTAAAATGTGGTTTACGCCTGTATGTGTACACAGTAAATGAAACATGTATGCAAATTTAATTATTAATACTCATTGAGATTATAATATACCTGCATGTTATCTAAATGTGTATTTTTTTTTTTTTTAAAACGTGTCCTATATTTTACAAGATGGGGCTGCATATTATCCGTGATATATTGTAAAAACACGCGTTAAGTAAATTCAATTACCTCTAACCACCGCATTCTACACTATTTGCAGATAAAGTTTTACGAATAATAGTTGCGAAACTATACTGCTAGGCAGTAAATATATTATACAATATGTAATAACGTCTCACGAATTTTAACCGAAATATGTTCATACCAACTCGTATATTAATTTGTGTTCTGGGTATAAATTATGTATGTTCCTGTTTTATTTTCCTTTTCTAATATTGCTCCCTGCTTCCAACAACGGTTTTCGCGAGGTACAAACATAATATAAAGTGAACATTTTCAAAATAATAAGTTTTTCACCAACTGGCCATTTATTACATTATATATTATTTTGTGTACGCGCTGCACACGATACCTCACGAAAAGTTAAGAATGATAACTTGCGTGTTGAAACCTCAACGCGTTAACTTTAGTTACTAGTTAATTATTGGAACGAAATTCTAATTGTTATTCGACACCTCGAATTCGCAGCCATATAATATATGTAATTAAAAAGTTCTCCAATTCGCAATAGTATAACTTAGTGAACTGCCAAACTGATTACTGTTTGAGAAACCCGAACACACACGTTTCTACCTCTCACCTTATACATATCTTATTATTTATATTGATATAACAACAACGTATACCACGTGTAATTCAATAATACGATATTGCTTCTTTTTATAGTGAATCGTCCCGTTATTTGGTTCTATGAAAATTCAAATTCGTATATAATTAATGTATTATATTATATATTATATTTCGTATATTATTATCTGATAATAATATAGATTTGTTTTACGCATCCAGGAGAGTATTTGTGGAGGAAGATTAGGCTAATCTTTCTTATTATTATCTATTATATCAAATTTCTTTACTTTATTTTAGTCAACAAATTCAAAAATGTGTATAATATATATTATATACGTTCAGGTTTCTATACATACTGTATATTATGTTTTTGTTTAAAACGAGATACAACCGAACCACTATAATATTATGAATAGTCTTAGAGACTTCTAGCTCTAAAAAAATATGCAAATATGTTTTTAAAAACAACCAAATATGCACTAAAAAATGCTTTAAATAATATCTTTTACTGACATTGTACACTGAGAACTTTGTGTTTTGAGATAAATAATTTAAAATATGCTCTAAATAGCAGAAACTGTAAAATATGTTAATATATGCCACGTAAAGTTTAGGATAAAAATTTCTTACATAATGAATAGTATATGAATTTATGTTAGCGTCTGCTTTTTTTTTGAACCTTTGAAAAATAATATACAAATGGTAGAAGTCCTTAACCCGACGATGCCACCTACCTGCCCGATAGGTTTTGCCTTTGCCCTCTAAAAGGTGGCTCCATTAAGCAAGGTAGGCAAAATCGGAGAAAATAATGCTAACACTGACTCCCTCGGTTCGAAGGAGTCTATAAAAGAAAGAAGTACATGTGTACTTAGACTAAAAAAAAATATAAACCTATAATCTGACATAATTTCCAAATTCAATATTTCTCTCGCTAACAACATCTTAAATACAGCGAATGGGCATTTACACTCTTGTTCCCCCTTGGTGTTATAGACAAAGGCGTAGGAATATATTGTTTATAAGGAGGGGGGGGGGTTCTGAATACGAACTGTTTGTAATTCAAGTGATTTAGAGTTGAAACAAATTAACTCTTCCCTTAACACCACCCCTTACCAACGTTCCGGGTTATGAGTGTACCACAAAGTTGCATTTACAGTATACACCTATAATATACTATAGAAACATAAATATATGTCTTGGGAAGATTTATTCATGGTAATTATATTATTTGTATAGTGCGTGTTGTGTATTATTTGTTATAATGGTCATGACGAAAAGAGAAAAATAAATAAAATGTTAGGCGAAAAAAATTTAAAAATAAAAATGTTAAAAATATATAACATGGGATATTATATTACATATGCATATATTACTACTATTATGTTTATTACCATATCTTCCGAGTGTCGTAAAAGTGTAAACGAGTAGCGCGTGACGATATTGTACATCAATATTTTATATTCTGTATACATACCTCATAATACTCGTAAATACATATTTTAGTAAACGTATTAAATTGTTCATTATTTTGTTTTTGGCTTGTTCACAGGATGAGAGAATTCGTCGAGGAGAACGAAAAAACTGATCCTCTAATCCACGCTCCAGACAAAAAGAACAACCCTTGGGCGGAAAAGGGGAAGTGTGTAATAATGTGAACGATTTTTCACATACCTACCACGACCACCCCTTCCGGCGCCACCACCGCCGCCGCCTCCGCCGCCACCGACACGCCGCCCAACCGGCTTCGGTGGCTCCGGTCAAACTTATTATAATAATATATTTTCTTTTACACATTATTTTAACGCAATCACTTATTTTTTATTTGACGAAACAGAAAAAAGAATAAGCATAATAACATTTCCAATATCGTGTACTTTTCCGTTTTATTTTATTTTGAATAATAATTGAAAAAAAAAAAAGAAGAAAAAAAAAGTTTGTAATAAAAATTTTACTAAAAAAAAAAAAACTATAAACGACGAGTATTTTAAGGGTAATTGTATCAGCTCAATAAAATATATAAAAAAAAAAAAAAATAATAAAAATAAAAAAAATAAAAAAAATAGTCTCGGTTTCAAATATTATTATTATACTTAATTTACTTATATAATATTATAATAGATAGGTCAACGACGATAACGTATGTAGGTTGCGTATACACGTCTTAATGTTATCAATTTCGGTGTGTGAATACTTCAATAAAATACATTTTTTTTCCTCGTATTGGTTTTTCAATAGTTTATGAATAATTTTTACCTTAAGTTATATTATTGTAATGCATTATATTATACTGCGTTATTATAATTGTTTATTACATACTCTAGTCACTGTATAATTATTAAGTCCACTATCTCGGATATTATAATATCTCGTATAATATTATATTCACCTTCCTATATAATATTATTAACTATAGAAATTAATATTAGTAAATATTATACAATCTACAATAATAATATACATAATATTGTATTGTATTGTATTATATACTTAAAAATAATTTTTATCTATTATAATATACATACATCTAAACAACCTTAATGTAAAGACACACTTTTTTAAATTTTTTTTTTTTTTTTGTTATTCATTGCAATATACATATTTTAAAAACTTTGCGTGAAGCTCATTAACTGCAGTGATGGGCTTCATTTCCAAAGTTGTATAATTAGTACAGTAATATAATGTTTTCTAAAAATTAAAAAATCAACCTTATACCTCCCTTTTTCCGAGCTTAAATATTTTAATATTATTATGAAATTTCGCATCGTGCCATTTCTATATAAGGTTTTGTACGATTTTTTTTTTTTTTTTTTAATAAAATAAGACGCCTATCTAATATTTGTATAAATCGGCGTTAAACATTTATATTATATAAAGTAATTTTTTTTTTTTGTAGTACTTTTCTGATCATATTATATTTATGGGCACCAATTATATCGTAAGTTTAATATTTATTAATAATATAATAATTAATAATATTATTAATTTAATTTTTATCGTCACTGAAATATTATATTATTATGTCGTCCGTAATACATATATATATATGTAATACTTGTATTATATTACATATATAATATATTTATGTAGATGAACATAATATAATATTATACTATATGTATATGTACGATATAATATATAATTTATAATATATTATACTACATACATATAAATACATTATCTGTATTAAAAAAAAAAAAAAAAAAAAAAAAACGATTCCGTATATTATTTTTGTTTTTAGAAAAACATTATTTCGATTTTACTATTATAATTATTATTGTATCGCAAAAAATGTCTGTAAATAAAATATGAAATATAGATGTTTTTGATCGATTTTCAAATTGTTCATCTTTTTTTACTGGTTTTTTTTTTTTTTTTTGTTTACCTCTGCATCGTTTCCATGATATTTCTACTATGATATATTATAATATTATTTATTGTGTCTCCCGCTGTACACTTGTGTGAAAGAAAAACAATGTACACATCACCGACAGCGAGGCGGGTTTTTAACAGGTGTTCCTCTAATTTTTGGTTTTTTTTTTTTTACTTTTTGTTTACTTTCATACATACCTGCATGATGTACACAACGTTGTAGGTACTTATACACTGGTTGCGTTTATAAACGGGCACATTTTAGTAACCGACGGTGTCAAGAGCAGTAGGAGTCACGAGTCGAGGGTATAACCAGAATTTTTTTCAAACGGTTCGCAACGTTAGAAAATAATTCCATAAAAAATAAATATGCTGAAAATAATTGCGTTTAAAATAAATTTATAGAAGCACCAATGCGATAAAACGTATTTACGTAGAAAAGCCGCACATCACATACATTTCTTTCATTCATTTTATTTTCCACTTTGTAAATTCAAGAGTATAATTTTCAAAAAATATGTTTTTGCAGGTACCCAATTTTTTTCTGAGGTTTTAGTTTCTAAAATATTAAGTTGGTTTTTTTTTTTTTTTTAAATTTTCCAACTAATGCATAATTATGCATTCCCGTAGAATCTTTTCACTACGCATTTCGTAAAAACCCGAAGCATTTAATGTATAATATATTTTCAGCTTAAATAAGATCAAGAGCCGGGAGAGGAGGTGTTTTAACGTCCAAAATTCCCTCCTGCAGACTACGCGCCTGATGTGAATTAAAATATAACCACATTTACAGCAAAATACGTAAACACCTACCTACAGTATTATAACTGCTCGGCGGTCGTGAAAAATTACTTAAACAAACTCGTATATTACATAATATATAGTGACATATATGTTATGAGGGCGGCTGTGTAATGTCGGTCAGATATTATGCTCGAAAAATATGTTAATGAAAACTGATAACGTGGTTTTCGTTACTCGTTACACGTTATCTATATAATATCTCACATGAGTCATTAGAGGTGAAAAATAATTAACGTTAACTTTAATTACTTAACATTATTAGCACTGCTACCCTACAAAGTGCCATCTGAGTCAAAGACGAACAATTTGGTCGTTTTTCATCGTGCCGCCACTTTATCACATCGCACAAATAACTGTAGGAGACGATCAATTCGTCGTTTAATCCTCAAATGTGTACCTACCTATAAATTCATTTACGATAAATCGTTTTAACTATAACTTAACGTTTTTTAATGTAGAAACATAGATAATAAGTTCCCTAGATATTATATAAGTCCAGATATAGTGGATATCTATTCATTTGTTATATTTATATTATAAATTTAAAATGAAATTTTTTAATAGAGAAATATTTAATTCAGTTTAATGCGCTTCAAAATATTACTGAATATGTAATAGATCATACAATAACAAAATACGTATAATAGATATGTGTTTGGATCTATTTTTAAATATAACATAAACACGAGTAGCCAGAAGAAGATTGATTACACGATACGTTCTACATAATTATTATAACCATATGTATCCAGTTAAAAAAAAAAAAAAAAACGCCAATGTACTGTATCGATTTAAGCGAGAAACCAGGGTTGGTAATATAATCGTATAAAATTACATGTGTAATACGTATGAAACTATAACAACTGCCTAGGACATTTTTTTTTTTTTTTAAGTTTATTATAATGGTGATAATACTGTACATTTAATTTGAATAAGTATTTTAACTTATAAATTAATATAACAAATAAACAAATCACATCAATTTGGTGAATTTTCTTAAATTTAGAATAAAATAAAAACAAAACAAATTTTTTTTAGTTTCTAAGTAGAACGAGGAATATATTGGGTTACAATGATATTTATTTTTTTTATGTGAACACTTTTTCTACCAAAAAACATACTCCGTTTATCAAGTATAGCACCTTTTCTGAAAATAAATTTTCTCTAGGTAGTACTTTCAAAAGGTCATTATATAAATAGGGAAACCTTGATCTTTAGGTTAAAATAGACTGAAAGATTACAAATAAGGTTGTCATTGGCAACCGTTTTTATTTATTTTTTGCCATTATTAAGTTTCCATTATTTTAATATTTTTTTAAACAATTATCGTTGTCATGGAAACGCACATTGTTATAATTATTTTACTATAATATGGCTGTTAGCTTTTTATTTTTTGAATTTGATAGTTATCATAATATGATAATATTATTACTCGTATATTACAGTTTATTTAAGCAAACATACTTATTCTACTATTGTATAGTATTGTATTGTATAGGAAGATACGTAAGTAAACGACATAATAATATAATATACTAAATGGCCTGGTTACGTACATATTTATACAGCGCTCACCGTGGCTGTTATAACATATTATTATAGTTAAGGGTTCTCCTTATAATGCGTGCGATTACTGATCTCCTTCTATACCCCCGAGGCCTCAACCAATCATGCTGCCATGACTCAAGTCTTCACACACACGCACGCATGACATATTATATTAATAGTACGACCCTCACGTAACGCATTCACAACCCATGGGGATTATAACGTAGTTTAATTTTGTTAATTTACCTATCGATGTAAACAGTGACGGACGCGGGACAATGGTTGTTAAACCCTTTTAATCTTTCCGAATTCATTTTTCATCCTTAAAATATACTGTACAAAAAAAAACAAAACGTTGATTATGCTAATGGGTGTGCCACTGTGTATGTAGAAACTGCAGGGTAGTTTGGAAGGATGTATAGAGTAATTTAATTTTTATGCGTACGCAATGATAAAATATTGCAAACGAAAAACGATCCTGAGTAAAGTTCGGTTAATCAATTTTTTGAATAGGCAACTTAAATTGAAAATATGGGTATTATCTTGTTACTACAAAATAAATTTGTCTCAAATTATTTAAAAATTGTTTAGAACCAAAAAAGTTTAACTGCGCACACATAAAAAAATACCCTACAATATCTAATTTTCATCAAATTGAATTTAAAAAGCCTAATTTATTTACATGTAAAATAAAAACCATGACTACGGATTTTCAAAATTATTATAGTGCCATAAGAAAAACTTAACAACTGATGATGAAAAGAAATGATCGAGAAAAAAATATCACGCACTTATTTATCGTAAAACCAATACATTTGTCGCTACACTCAGAATCTAAAAAATATATACGAAGAAGATTTAACATTGAATGTTTTCTATAATGTACCATTATAATTGTTTGCTTAAACAAGGTCATGTGAAGGGGTTGATTTCCTTCACCCTGTCCCATAAACACACTGCTGCTATTAAGAGATTATCAAATTTAATTAAGGGTGTAAACTAGACTATGATCTATAATATTAATATAATATGTCTAATATTTTATATATCTTTGGCAACTTAAAATAAGAATTGTCGTCCAATTCGTCATTGAACAACAATATTCAAGATCGGTAGGTATTTATGTAATAAACGTAGTACTATGCATATGTTCAAAAATCTAAGGTATTAAATGTTTTAACAACAAGTATTGACTCTACAATACATCTGTATAAAATCATATATTTTTACTATGTTAAAAATATTGTCGTCATTTCAAGATACCTAAATTAAAATTGACTTAACCATTATATTCGATGACCTAAATAACACCCTTCAACTGCTGCATAGGTTTTAGTCCGGCCACGGGGATTTAACGGACACGAACTACCTACTTAAACTGAACAACACTTTTAATATCAAAGTCGAGGGGTGATTTTTTTTTTTAGAGCCCAATTTTATGACAAAATTTAAACCCCAGGAATATTTTAAGTACCAACCTACGTAATAAAAATTAAACGGGATTACATAACATAGTTAAAGAAGTGATTTCAAAGTCGACTAAACTGACCGGCTATATAATACAACTATTAACCAACTATAAACTGATTATACAATGGAATATAAAATCATTTTTCTCCTTCATTCGTGAGTGTAATAACTTCATTTAATTTTTTTTTCTATTTTGATCGCTAGATGAATTTGTTGCACTTAGACCCAAATTAATTTCTGCTTGATTTTTTATTTATCAGTTTTGTGGAGATTTGTATAAGTTAATACATTAATATCAATGAAAGTAAGAATGTTCGTGATATGCCATTGAACTACAATATATTATTTATTTAAAAGATAACAGGCTGGAGCCCAATTTACAAAATATTAACAAAAATACAACGTGATACATAGTCCAAGTGCAATTAAATTATTAAAACCAAAAAAAAAAAGTTAGGTGTTTTAACTTAAAACTAAGTTAAAATTAAATGCTAATTAGTAGGTAGTCTGACTATTGGTTAACAAAATAATCGGGCAAGCCCAAACAATAATGGCAAGGTAGGATACATACAAAAATTTAAAAACATATTATATATTATAGATAATAATGTATCTATAATTTGTAATAAAAAAAAAAAAATGAATAAATGTAATTATTTATCAAAACTATTTCCTATTTCCAATATAATAATAAATGATATATTCACAAAAAGGAGGGATAATTATGGGTGGTCCTTTAAGTGCACTTTTATTTAAAATTTACATGCAAAATTATAAAACCAATAATATTATTAACAACATATTATAGATATGTTGATACCTATGATACATCTATCTATATACCAATCTATCTATCTATGGTATGATATGATTTTAAATTTAGACTGTATATTCTGTTGTCAATAATATTATTAATTTTCTAATTTTGCATGTAAATTTTAAATAAAAGTGCACTTAAAGGACCACCCATAATTAGCCCTTCTTTTTGCGAATATATAATTTGTTATTATATTGGAAATAAATTTGATTAATAATTACATTTATTCATTTATTTATTTGTATATATATATATATTCATTTTTTATTTTTATATTTATTTACTATAAATAATAGTTATTATCATAGGCACCAGGTTTTAAAACTGTTT